TATTAGGCAAGTTATTGAATAACAGTGGTTTGTTCTGTGGACTATCAGGAAAAAATATAGCTTAAGAGGGCTCATAATATTGACCTTAAAATTGCTTTAAAAATGCTTTTATTCTAGCCAAAATAAAATGAATAAGACTTTCTCCAGAAATAATATAATTTGGGAAATATTTTCCAAATGAAAGAAATTCACTAGAGGGCTAATCATTTTGACCTCAGCTGTATATGTGGGCTTGTGTCTGGGTTGCTCAGACATCTGTGCGGCGCGTTCCGACACATTCCAGCTCCCTGGTTTCCATGGTGAGGCCAGTGTCTGTCCCAGCTTAGTAAACCAACAGAGAATCGTTGTAGCGACGGGCAGATCACAAATGCAGTGCTTATTTTAGACATGTGACTAATAATGGCTTATATTGCATAGGGGAGCTGGCAGATCGGGTTTTAAATGGTCCTTCAGTCATAAATCTGATTCTTCAGAAGTAAATGTTTTGTCTTTTACAGAGAGAAGGATATAAAATGGGTTTTTGGTATTGTGATCTACTGCTGTGACTGTTTTGGTTTGTGCAGAATCATATGATTGTACTGTTATGTTGATATCAGCCACAGCTGCGTTTAGATGAGTATTAGTCACCATTTAAACTCGTGGATAGCGCATGTTGTCCTATATTCTGACGCACTGTTATTTATTGGATGCTGCTTTTTCCACTCAGCCTTTTTCCTTCTCTTCTTGATCATGTTAAAAATAAGAGTGAATAGGGCTGGTTGATTGTGACGGTATGATAACATTAGATAAAAATATCAGGGTATTGTGATTACTGCTCTAAAATGTTTTCTTTTTAACAACAAATTTTTCCCTATTTAACACAATATCTTTTAAGAAATATTTAAAATATTTTGGAACAGTAAACATGTCAGGCTAAATAATAGATTCTGTCATCTTCATTTAGTATTAAAAACACTGATTTCTTCACAACTTAAAGGGCCATGAAACCCCCTCGTTTCAGCAGGGTGTTTTCACACCTCTACTTTGGAAAAAGTCAGAAAAGTGGGCGTGTCCAGCTCTGTTTAGGGTGGAGTGTCGGAGGAAGTAAAGAGGCTTGGTGTGGGAGTGTCTATTTGGGCGTGCTGAATTTCAGAGTCAAAACACACAACCAGAGCAGACAATGTGACTGTGTTTACATGGACACCTGTTGTCGAATTATTTGCCAAATTATTAAACAGTGGACTTTAACTGCAGTTTGGCTCTTTCATTCAGGGAATTCATTCATGTCCCTCCCGACAAATGAGATATTTGATTCGAGGAACTGCTCTAAGCATGTATTTTTCATGCAATGTTTGATACCGCACGGCGAATGAGAGAAAAAAAAACTCAGCATTTCCCGGAAACTTAGGTAGAGTCAGAAAGCCGCGTGTGTTATTCCGGTCACAAAATCCAACACAAGGTTATAGTTTGGTTGTAACTGTTAGTGCTAACTTGTTTACACTCGGTGCAATAGTTTGTTTGATACGAATAAAATACGAACTGAATAAACTAAGAGCACTGGTCGCTCACTTACCAAATCTGTAGAGACAGGACAATCACCAGCAACTAGAGCCGCGTCTTTATTTAGAGGAGACTACAAGCGAATCCGGATCTCAGCATTTGCAGATGAGAACAGCTCTCAGGTAAACAATAATCCTCCTTAGACACGTAAGTTATTGTTGTCGCGCGTCACGTACACTGTTAATCCACACGTGACTCCAGCTGAGCTCAGAGAGGAAATGAAAACAAAACTGCAGCAAACTATAAAAGCAACACTTCACGCTTGTTTTGCCAATACAATGTGGCGTCTCTGCCGTCTACGCTTTGACAGCAATGAATAGTAATGAAGTTGCACAATAGAGCGTGCTGATTGGTTTGAACCAAGCCTTACTCATGCATTAATGCATCACACTGTAAGAGGTAATAAGACACACTCTGGCACAGACGCCCAGTCTGTACTCTGGAATACACGCTATTATGTCATGACCGTGAAGCAGCTTCAAAAATTCGTTTCAAACCGGAAGTATGAATTTGCTTGAAATAACGCAAAGACAACCAATTTACACTTTTTAGTGAAATATAGGTGTCCTAATAGTGTTTTAGCAGTGTGGGACACATATACGACTGTCAACAGCTCAAAACATGTGTTTTGGTGTTTCGTGACCCTTTAAAAGGCATCTTTGGAGATCTTTTCTTTGGATGTAAATAAACCACTGCACTGTTCAGGTCCATAGCATGCTTGGATGTTTCTGGATAAGCGATTTTATTTTTCAAATGTTTTATGAATTGTGTGTGACCAGTAGCTTTGATATGGAAGGTAGGGCAAAAATGTAATTCACGATTTTTTTTTTTTTTTTGCTTAAAATCAAGATCTTGATTCTGTAGATGTTAAATAAAGATTAATATGATTAGCCTGTGATTATTGTTGATTCTCAAACATATGGTAAGAAAACGATAATAATATTAGGCCTATGTGTAGCTCTAGTGTTGCTTAAAATGCTAAATTTTGCATTGTGGTGGACTTGATCAGACTTTCAATATGTCCTGTTTGTTAATTCACAATAAAATGATGACATCGGAATATAACTATTCATAATTATAAAATTGAATTATTATGTTTGAGACATGTGCTTGTCATCTGTTACTGACAACATTATTAGACCATTATATTTCCATTATATATAGGCTAGGGTTGTTATACTGACACAGTTAACGTTTATTTTCATGCACAACTCTTTGTATTCGCTATATAGAATAAACATATCAAATGCTTGTCGTAATCATAACTCTAAAATGCCATATGATCGTTTAAATGATGTGCGCACAGGTTTTACTTTCACTTCCTAGTGCGGCTCATGGCTGCTGTCACTGAGAAAAAAAACATGTATACATGCAAATCAAACCTCCCGCACGGCCCTCAAACGATCGCTCTGTGCAACAAACTGAACGTTATTTACAACTTCATTACCTGTTATTCACAGCATATGCAGGTTCTTTTATGTCTTCTGGAAAAAAAATCCAAACAGTCTAAACAAATCAGCACACATTATGGCAGGACAGCACAATAATTGAGTTATTAATAATAATTTACTGCAAACATTTTTCAATTAAAAATTAAAAGCATGTTACTTTTTCACAATACTAAGAATATTAGCAAGCCATAGATTTGATAGTTTTCTTCTCTCTGTAGATCATAATAGATAATAGATCAGGTGGTCGTGGAGATTTTTATGCATTCATTTTAATGTTTGCTTCTTGTCTCTAACCCATGCATTCTTGTCTAAAGGTGAAGACCCCACTCAATGTTTGTATTGCACAATACTTCTTTCTGTAAGACACATTTTACTAGACTGTCCTGCTTTTAATGATTCTAGAAAGCTTTTTTATGAATGAACTCTCATTAGGACATTTTTAGCATAGTGACACCAGGAAAAATGTTTTTTGTTATTATTTATTTATTTATTTTATTATGTTATTTTATTTTTATTATTTTTTTTGTTTGTTTTACTATAATTTAAACTAAATATCGTATTTTAGATCAGATTAGATTAGATTCAACTTTATTGTCATTACACATGTACAAGTACAGTGCAACGAAATGCAGTTTAGGTCTAACCAGCAGTGCAATAGCAGCAAGTGCAGGATACAGGAATAAGTTATAAAGTGCAGTTATAGAAAACTATGGTGATATTTACAGATGGGATGGATGTACTATGAACATTATATACAGGTTGGATAAGCTATGAACAGATTTACAATATATGAATATATGTGCAGGTTGCTATTAATAATCAGTAGTGTGCAGATAGATAAACATGATTACAAGTGAATATGTTACAATATATGAATATATGTACAGGTTGCTATTAATAATTAGTAGTATGCAGATAAATAAACATGATTACAAGTGTATATGTTACAATATATGAATATATGTACAGGGAGAGATGAACATGATTACAAGTGTATATGTAACACTATATGAATATATGTACAGGTTGCTATTAATAATCAGTAGTATGCAGATAAATAAACATGATTACAAGTGTATATGTTACAATATATGAATATATGTACAGGTTGCTATTAATAATCAGTAGTATGCAGATAAATAAACATGATTACAAGTGTATATGTTACAATATATGAATATATGTGCAGGTTGCTATTAATAATCAGTAGTATGCAGATAAATAAGCATGATTACAAGTGTATATGTATAGTGGGTGTGTACATAATTACAAATGCCCATATGCAGTGGGTATGTACAGTTCAATAAGTAAACAGTTCAATGTGGTGCAGTGAATGTGCAAATTTTAAACGTGCAAAGGTTAAACAGTGCAGTTATTGCGAGGAGTTTAAGTTAGAGGAGAGTGGGGGGTGTATTGGGGGGGGGGGGGGGGGGGGCAAAAGAGTCAGTGGGGGGCAGAGTTCAGGAGGGAGACAGCTCTGGGGAAAAAGCTATGTATTTATGTATTCACTTGTTTGTTGTTTTTAATTGTTTATTTATCATAGAAATGTTTTTGCCAAAAATAGCCTTGGTTGCTGACATGGCATTAAATAAAAAATTCATTACATGCTCCTTGTCTCTATTTTCTTCTGTTGCTGGACAGAGTGGGCACATGCCCTGTGTGCGGGTGTGGGATGTGGCAGAGCGGACGCAGGTGGCAGAGGTCCAGTGTCATAAGTATGGGGTGTCATGTGTGGCATTCTCCCCCAACGGGAGCTATATAGTGTCTGTGGGATACCAACACGACAGGACTGTCAGCGTCTGGGAGTGGAAGGTGGGTTTTATCTGCCCGACTACTATGAAGAGCTGTGTTTAATCCTTGAAAAATGCTAAACCCTTCATGTATTTGGAGGAATAATGTACATGACCGAAGTGTTTTGAGAGCCTGGAAAATTCAATCAGGGTTAAAAGTTTTTTTTTCCTTCTAGCATACAAAAATGTGATTTTGTGAAAATGGTGAAATACTGACCTGGCATTAAAGGGATAGTTCATCCAAAAATGTGAATTTTCTTAATTTATTCACCCTTTACTTGTTGTAAACCTGTTGGATTTTTATTTTTTTTTTTTCTGTTAAACACAAAAGACATTTTGACAAAAGCTGTAAACCTGTAACCAATGGCTGTTTCTCAATTCCAAGAACGCAGAGAACGGACTTGCGTTCCTGTGAAGAGCGGTCTTGCCGGGTGTCCTCGGAAGAACGAACTCTAAAGACTGCGAGGGTAGAGAACGTGTCCTGTGAGAAGTGAGATGCTGCGTTCTTCATGATGGTCACGTGACCTTCACGTGTTTTAAATGGACAATTATTTAAACATTACAGCATTTATACAACGATTTATTGTTTTTCCCCATTTCACAATATATACTATGCATAAAAACATTATAAATATACGTTGCAAAATACAAATAAAACCGATTTTAATACGAATTTCAGCAAACAAACACCCTTTATTTATTCCTATAAATAAAGGAATATATGTTTATTCCTTTATTAAGATGTCCATGGTGATGTTTATATTTACCGTGTCATTTAGGGAAACTCCTGAGGTAAATAAGTTAAATCTGCACTTTAATAATGAATCTAAATAAAGTGCTGCTCTTCTCACCTCCAATGACAATGACAATGACTTCTGGGACTTCTAGAGCGAGGTCGGTGCTCAAGTCTGTATCGGTGCATCCTCAATATCAAGAACACATCTGGGAAGTTTCACGCATCCTCTGTTCTTGCGGTCTTGGGGATTGGAACTGAACTTTGGCAGCTGATGATGACGTTACACGAGGACGCAAGACCGCTGAAGAACGCATATTGAGAAACAGCCATTGACTTCCACAGTATTTGTTTTTCCTATAATTGAAGTCATTAGCCCCTTTCACGCATACAGAACTTTCCGGAAAATTTACCCGCAATTTTCTGGAATTGCGGGTCTGTATGTTTGAACAGGCCCTTTTTTTAAAAATACGGGTAAATTTGTTTTGGCAATTTTCTGGAAAGAAGTTGTAAGATTACCGGTAATTTGCCGGAATGCTGCTCTGTGTGAATGCAGAAGGAAGATTGCCGGAAAGAGCGTGTTCACGATTAGAACGCACTGACGTGAGGCATCTATTCCAGCCAATGAGAACATTCAGATGCATTCACATCCGCACTGTTTATAAAATGAAATGCTTTAAATATTTTTCCAGACACATTTAGCTGCTTGATTTTAGTCAGATAATGTTTCTGTATTCCTTCTTTAGGCATGGGCCGGTATAAGATTCTGATGGTATGACGACCTGGGATAAAAATATCATGGTTTTATGGCATTGCAGTTACTGCTCTAAAATATATTCCTTTTAAATGTCTGGGTAGAAAACTAGCTTTTTTCCGCTTTTAACACAATATATTTTATGTTGAGAAACATTTCAAAGATTTTGGAACCGTAAACATTCATTCATCTTTCATTTTTCTCTTTGGCTTAGTTAATCAATTTTGGCTTATTAATCTGGAGTCGCCACAGTGGAATGAACCGCCAACTTATCCAGCACATGTTTTACACAGCGACCTCCTTGCTGTGAGGGGACAATGCTACCCGCTATGCAACCGTGTTTGCTGGAACCGTAATTGTCAGGCTAAATAATTCAAATGAATCGTTGATTCTTTGACATTTGACTGCTGTCTTCATTTCAAAAACGCAGATTTAAAATGGCATCTTTAAATACCTTTTCTGCTGAAAAAAATGTTTTAAAAAATTGTATATATACCGTAGGAAACATAGCAGAAAGATTTGGCGGTTTTAAAACCTTGACTTTTCCAAGCTGCAGTTCCCTTGAAAACAGTTATCGTCCCATGCCTGTCCTTCTTAATGTCAACTGTGGAAAAAATTATCGATAAAATGCTTGTGATAAACCGCTGTTTGTTTACCTTCAAGCTCTGCTTCAGTTGCTTGATGCATGTGCACGTGAAGCAACCAGCTAACTAAACAACAACAAAAGCCCGACCCCTTCCATGTATACAAATACTAGCGCAGCCATTTAGAGCTCGTTTCTGGTTAAGGATGTCAGGATTTACCGGTATTTTGGAATGGAAGTGTGAACAGTGTTTTCCAGAAAAATTTCAAGAAAAATTCTTGCCTGTATGAACAGTGCTTTTTTTTTAACTTACCGGTAAAGTCGTCCAGAAATTTTCCGGATATTTACTGGTATCATTGTGTAAAAGGGGCTAATGGTTACAGGTTTTCAGCTTTTTTCAAGATATCATCTTTAGTGTTCAGCTGAAAAAAGAAACTCAGAAAGGCTTTAAACCACATATGGATGAGTAATTGAGTTAATTTTCATGTAGATACGTGTAAATCTTTTTTTAAATAGGGAAAACGGGTTTTTGTTTTAGGTCAGAGATGGTTCACTCGAATCTAAATTTACTCTTGCTCAAGGGGTGCCAAAATTTTGAATTTCTTTTTTTCTTGTTGAACACAAAAGATATTTTGTAGAATGTTAGAAGCCTGTAACCATGGACTTTCATAGCAGGAAAACCAAATATGGCAGTCAATAGTTACAGGTTTCTAGCAGTTTTTAAATATCTCTGTGTTCAGCAGAAGAAAAAAATCAAACAGGCTTGTTACAAGAGAGATAGAGTAAATGATAACCGAATTTTCATTTTTGGGTGAACTGTCCCTTAAATGGTTATGAAAGTGCACCCTGAAAGATTGTCATTACGTTTATGTAAGCTGACAGTAAGTTAAAAGCTATTAATTCTCTACATACTTGCTTTTCAATGTTAATATATTAATCTCTAATATGATATTATATGCATTTAGGCCCCGTTTACACTAGTGCGTTTTAGTTTTAAAACTGCGTTGTAGAATGAAAACGATCCGCGTCCACACTCGCGTTTTACCCAGCGTTTCTGAACTGCTCTCCGTCCACACCAAAACGCTGAAAACGCACATCACGTGACCACACACACACTCTCGGGCAAGCGCTCCAGCATTTCTACCCAGATGAGAGCTCTGCTTGTCGGACTGCTCATCAAGCATCTCCCGCTGGATCTAATCTCACTATATTTGCTAAACGTTATATTTCATTCATGTTGTTGTCTTTATCTTACGACATAGGCCAATTCCCTGACTTTGGTCATTGGAATCTATTAAGTTACTTGTTCTCGGGTAACATGTTTTGGTTAAGCGCAAAGATAAGTTAATGATTAATCCAGGTACATTGACTGATCGCTTGCCTTTATTTCCTACAATGTATAAACTTATTGTATGTTATACTTTTATAATTATCGATTATTAAAACTGATATTCAGCAAAAGAGAGGGTGCGTTTCGTATTTTCACTGAAATTGAAAGGAGGCATCTGTTATCGGCTCCGTTTTGTTATAAATGTCCACACAGTGAAGATGACGCTCATCTATGCAGCACGACGCCTCAACATTTCTGCTGTCTGTTAAGTTGCTAATATTAAAAAGAAAATAGGCAGTTCCTTAAATTATGTTTACATTTTATTGTTGAGAAAGTGAAACAACATAGCCAGGGTGATGTGAATGAAGTTATAAAGTACACTGTTCCCTTTGAAGATTTACCCGTGTCCTCTATGTTTTCCATATCAAACTGAGAAGGGGGAGACTGCAGCCTTGATCAAACTTGCGAAGTCTTAACTTACAAGAAGAGGATGCGAGACTGAACTGTGTGTTAGGCTACTTAATATTGAGGAAAAGCCCCAATCAGATAGGCGAACGTTTGCAGCCCCGCCTCCGTTTTCAGATGTCTCCGTCTTTCCCCATCCACACTGAGACGGAGCAGCAGCGTTTTAGAATGAAAACGGCCTCTCCAGCATTTTCAAAAAGCTCCGTTTTCGGCGCTCGAGAACTCCGGCGTAGTGTGGACGGATGGCGTAACCGTAGCAAAACTTATGCGTTTTCAAACTAAAACGCACTAGTGTAAACAGGGCCTTAAAGTGTGTGTATATATACACCTTGTTTCAATCGACAACAATACAATGCTGTAAGATCCAAGTGGTAATTAATTGTCTTCCATGGTTTTCAGACAAAAGAAGGTGTTGCGTAGAATGTTGCAAACCAATTAACTTCTACAGTATTTGTTTATCTTTTGTCGTTGTCTACTGGTTGCCAATTTTTTTTTAATATCAGCAGAAAAACAAAAGTCCTAAAAGTTAAAACCACTTAAGAGTTTGTGTGAATCTTTTAATATCCTCTTTGGTCATGAATGAGAGTGTTCAGAATTAATTAATTTTGAGTGAACATACTTGGGGATTGGAGCAGAGGATGGTGTGTGCGACCTGAAATGTGAGGATGGTTTTCAGGAATGTTTAAACAATACCCTTTTTTCTTTGCTTTTAGAAGGGGACTGTTATCGCGTCTAACAAGGTGTCCAGCCGTGTGCTTGGTGTATCTTTCTCAGAGGACAACAGCTACTTTGTAACTGCAGGCAACAGACATGTGAAGTTCTGGTACCTTGATGCCTCAAAGGAAAGAAGGGTGAGACAGATACACAATATTTCTGGTTTTTGATCATTTTTATTTTTTAAGTAAATGAAGATAATTATGTATGCATGTATATATGCATATTATAAATATTATCAGGGCTTGACATTAACACCCGCCAAATGCGGGTAGCTTTCAATGGTGGCGGGTAAAACAGACACTCCCACTAGCCACTTTGGCTGGTTAAAATTAATTTTCCTGGATAATAATTCTTAAAAGCAGGGTTTGACAATAAGAATGGCCCACTATGCATGCAAAGGCGATCTTGGGATTGAGAAGCAACACGACTGACAAAAATAATAGTGTTCGCGCAAGCAGAAGAAAGCAGGTGAATACCGAATGAGAGGATGATCAGTCTCACAAACAGCTGAGGTGATGCATGCGACTGTTCAAAACATGTGTTCAATAGGGGCTCTTTAAGTGATTTATGCTTTATTATATTGTCGATATAAATATATATTTTAATAAATATTGTCTAATGATTGTGTGATTTATGAATCTGCGTTGTTTGTTCCAGTCTTCAGTTCCATATCAGAACTCCAAAAACAAAATCTTATTGGTGTTAAAGTGTTTTTGCTGCTCTGCATGCGTTGTAGATTACAATAGTAAACTTGCGTTATTTAAAAATCCAATTGGTAATGGATTACATTTTATAAATTACTTTTAATAGCACACTTGGCACATTTAATGTGGTGGATCAAGCTGCTAATGATAACCATGTAGTTTCTAAATAAATATAAAGCAGCAGAAATGTTTTCAACATTGAGAACTTAAATTATTTAGCTTACCTTGAATATTGAAACTTTTTAATTCTATAGAAAACAACATTTTAAATTCAGATAATACACAATTTTGTGAATTAGGCTGAGCATAAAAGATGCTCATGTCAGAAATATTTAAAATTAGAAAGCTAAATTGACCAAGTGAAAAGGTCAGTGATCGTTTTAGGCTTTGGCTTTCACCTCATGGTGTTGTGTTCACAGCCTGTACACAGTCTGAATATTAAGCTTGTTGATATAAAGTACTCTGCAGTTTCCTGTGATTGCCCACATCCTTCTGTTACCATGACTTCTGTTTTCGTGTCAGATGGAGCACCTTTTTTTCTGTTCAAATATGTCATCAATTTCTGAAGAATTAGTGAAGATTGTGAACAGTTTATGTTTGTTTGCTGGTGCAGGTGAACAGCACCGTGCCTCTGATCGGCCGCTCGGGTTTGCTGGGGGAGCATCAGAACAGTCAGTTCTGTGGTTTGGCTTGTGGCCGCGGGTCGATGGCCAGCAGCACCTACTGCATCACACACACGGGTCTGCTGTGCCAATTCAACAGTAACAGACAGCTGGATTCCTGGGTTGATCTCAAGGCAAGTCACACACTTTGTCTCCATTTATTGGTGTCATTTTGGTGTCCTGGCACAGTTTGTTCATTCTAGCTTTAAAAACCCATTTAAGGCCCTGATATGCTCATAACAAGGTTATTTTCTGCAGCATGCTGATAGAAAACATCCAGATGTCAACCATTCTGTAAATGTGTGCTACATTTTTTTCAATTACAATTTAAAGAGCTGACAATTACACGTCACTAGGGATCGGTATCGTTAAGGTTTTAATGGTATTATCACAAAATTGGTGGTTTTTGCGTTATTTCGAGCAAATTCGTACTTCTGGTTTAAAACAAACTTTTGAAGCTGCGTCACGGCCATGAGATCTTAGTGTGTATGCCAGTGTTTAGACTGGACGGCTGTACCTGGGAGTACCGTATTACGTCTCTTATTCTGTGTTCACACCAGACGCGGAACGCGTGGATAAATCGTGCTATTCGGGCTTCTGTCTGCCCGAAGACTCTAGCTTCATAGCTAAATGGCTAACATGGATTTTATGAAGAAAATAACAGTGTTTATGTGCTTTATGAAGACTGAAAAACAGCGTTGATACGTTTAGGGTCGTGTCTAGGTCCACTACATCCTTTCAGAGGTGCATCCAGCTCTGTGAGCTCATAAACTCCTCCAGAAACTGAACCTGGATGACGGAGGCTTTCTGCGGTGCTTCTGACTGAGCCAAGCCGAGTTTGATGAACTGTTCCCTCGGAACACCGACAACAGGTTCTACGTCACAATCACGCCCCCACAAGAGCAAGCTCCTGATTGGTTAACGCGGCGCGAATGTACGCTGAAGTTCAGATTTTCGAATTCGAGAGATTCGCGCAAAATGCTCATTAAGTGCGTCAAACGCGCAAAACGCTCAATTCGCCCCGTGTCATTTGCGCAATTTGCGTCATTCGCGCTGCTCCATTCGCGCGTATCGCGCCGCAGGATGTCTATTCGTGCGTTTGCATTGACTTAACATGTAAATCACTTGCGCTTGACGCGTCTGGTGTGAACGCAGCATAAGTGTGCTGCATTAATTCATGAGTAAAACTTGGTCAAACCATTGAGTATTGTGTATGCGTGCAACTTCATTAATATGCATGATAGCTTCGAAGACTGTACCTGAAACAGTGTTCAGACAGCAGAGAGACGACACGTTGTGTTGCCAAAAGAAGTGGGAAAAGAATAAGAATTGTTTGGAGATACGGGTCGTCAGTATTGCTTTTATAATGTGCTGCAACGAAGTTTTTGCTTTAATTTTCCCTCTATGAGAGCACAACTAGACTCGCGTGTGGATCAGTACATGCAGCAGAAATGCGTTTGTATGGAACATTTTTTTACCCGAGAGCTTTTCGCATCTGGAAATTGTGAAATCCGGATTTGCAAGCTATTACAGACCGTCGTGTTTAATTTTCGCCGCATTTTGTGACAAGATAGTCTACACACTCAAGGCTTTCTGACCTACCGAGTGGACCTGAGTTGCCAAGAAATGCAGAGGTATTTTTCTCTTATACAACATTCTATTGCCATTAATTTTTATTCAAATCCTTTCCCTTTTCCCTCCTTTGACACTCCCACCTAAACGGAGCTAGACATACCCACTTTCCTGACTTTTTCCAAACTAGAGGTGTGAAAACACCCTGCTGAAACGGAGGGTTTCATGGCCCTTTAATTACCCGGATGGTGCACTCATAAAATGAAGTTATGTTATATTGTTGGACACTTTTTGGACACTGGATTGTTGGTTTGAATTTCCACTTTGTAAAAAAACCCTTAGTGTCCCTTTTGGGACAATGCTACATACATATACTATATACATATAAGTGTATAGTGTGCCATTTGGGATGCAGCTACTATTTATACTACAAAATGGCTTAGAATAATGCACAAGTATGCGATTTGGGACACACCTTTAGTTTTGGTTATTCTTGAATTTTACAAGGGAAAAAAAAGCCTCTACTCTGGAATGGCATTTCTTCTCTTCTAACTCAGTGTGTCTTTGTTTTGCTGTTGTAGACTACATCAGCACAGTGTTTATCAGTGAGCGGGACGTTTGTTTTTTGCGGTTGTGCCGATGGGACAGTTCGTGTGTTCAGCCCACAGGATCTCCGCTACATCACCACTCTACACCGGCCACATTGTCTGGGAGTGGATGTGTCTCAGGGCACACAGCCAGGGTAAGACACTACAGTAGAGAAGGTGTCTAATTCTGCTTCTGCAGGGCTAGTGTCCTGCCACAGGATATTTTTACATTAATCAGTGCTACCCTGATGAGGTCTGTTCAAATTTCTTTTTTTAGTTTGACATGTTGTGAAATGTGCAGTGTATGCTTGTAATGAGGCAACAAGCACATGCAAACTTGTATCATTTGTGTTTAATGCATGCTTATGCATCATGTCATATCACTCTTATTGTCATTATTGAGTCAAAGGTTACCAATAAACTCCAAATAACACTCACCGGTTATTGCAGAGGACTAATAATAATTTCTGCCTGTGATTTCATACAAGTTAAAGTTCAAAATATATCTCATGTGATAAGACCTATCTTTCTGTCCTTTTTGTCGAGTGTTATTTAGCCTATATTTCATACACAACAGGTAAGAAGCAAAATAGGTTACTGTGGTGTAGGGCTGCATGATATGAAAAATCTGACATTGCAATATTTTATTTTACCGCTATATATTGAAATATAAATATAATTTCACCAGATGGCTCTATTTGAAAAGATTTGATTAATTCAGATCGACGGGGATGATCAATATGATTTATAAATTATAATAAGTTACTAGCGAAAATAAATTGTGCTTAAAGTGTGCTTTATGGTTTTCTGGGGAGTCTAGCAGTATTCATGTATGGAAATTGAACAAAATAGAATATAAAACTATTAAACAATCAAACATGGTCATTATTGTATAAATAATAAAAAGAATGTGTATGTTTTTTTATTTTTTTTTTATCTGTTAATCTTTAATCAATCATCTATTCCTGTGATGATACATGCATTGCAATATCAATGCCCAAATTATATATTGTTCAGCCCTGCTGTGGTGGTTTATATTGGATCTAGCTAACTCCTTCTTGTTAAAATAAACCACCACTCCAGCTAAAATTAGAATTTTTTTTTTTTTACTTACCTGTAGGGCTGTGCAATTAATCGAAAATCCGATTGCGATTTTGGCTTGTAACGATTATGAAAAGCCATTAATCAAGATAAACGATTATTCCATCACGTACCGCCCCCTTTCCAGTTGTACACGTGTGAAAACTCTTTGCCACTGCAAAGCTCAGTTCCACGTGAAAATGACTAAAAGCATGTGTGGTAATGTAACTTTTGCAGCACGGGATGCGCATCATTCATATGTTTAAAAGCGCAAAAGAGCACGTGCTGTTGTGTGTGCGCGCCATGCTCAGCCTCGGACAGGTAGCTTGTGTGTGTGTGTTTCCGCGTGTGTAGCCTCAGACAGCAGAGCGCACACACATCTAACGCGATCTTAATGTGAGCAATTTAATGGTCAAATACATGCACACTTGTGTCAGAGCGCGGTGTTTAGTGATTATTCATATTAACCCTCACTTGTGTAATAAACAAACAAGTGGAGAATCAAAAGACACGAGAAAGAGAAACCATATTAGAGCCGCACTATTCTTAAAGTGAGCGTGCGGTATACCTGCTGCTACCGACTGTTTTTATTATTAATCAATATTAAAATTAAAAATACAGTGAAGATGCTTAAAGCACAGTTTAAACACAACATATTTAATAACTCATTTCTAATAACTGATTTCTTTTATCTTTGCTATGATGACAGTACATTATATTTTACTAGATGTTTTTCAAAATACTAGTATTCAGCTTAAAGTGACATTCAAAGGCTTCACTGGGGTAAATAGACAAGTCATTGTATAACAGTAGTTTCTTCTGCAGACAATTAAACATATATATTGCTTAAAAGGCCTAATAATATCGAGCTATTAAAATGGGTTTCAAAATATTCAAACCTGCTTTTATTCTAGCTGAAATGAAACAAATAAGCCTTTCTCCAGAAGAAAAAAATATTATAGGAAATACTGTTAAAAAAAAAAAAAAAAAAACCTCTGTTAAATATAATTTGGGAAATATTTATATATAAAAATAAATTCACAGGAGGACGAATAATTTAGACTTCAACTGATAATCGTTTTGAATAATCGTGATTACAATTATGACCAAAATAATCGTGATTATGATTTTTCCCATAATCGAGCAGCCCTACTTACCTGAGCCCCATGCCTATTAAATAGATATTAGTGAATAAATTAACATGTGGAATTAATGTACTTTAATGTCCCTTTAAACCAACTTTAAATAGTTTATTAAGGGAACGAAAATGGTAATGAAGTACAACAAAGTAAGACTAAGGGTGCTTTCATACCTAGACTTTTGTTTTGAAACCGGTCTCGTTTACTTAGTTAGCGTGGTTCGTTTGGCATACGTGAAACTCGCATTCAGATCCACGCCAAATCGATCAGTCTGAGATCGCCTGAATAAGGTGGTCTCAGCTTGATTGAAACGAACTCTAGAGCGGATCGACTGTAGTGAGAAAGTGAAAGGATCCGAGTCCGGCTATATCACAGTGTATTATGGATGTGTAATTGGCATATATACGGCTATATGAAGAATGAATTATGAGTAGGGCGGGATGTCATTCCTTCCATTAAATGTGCGTTTCATGTTAAATACGAAAGTGAAAGCATGTTAACTATTAACGAGAGCTGTTTATCTATTAGGAACATTGTCCAAACTGCAGACTAGCCAATAGCTGTGTATGAGAGAGTCTTACCTCATATCAGGCGACGATGTCACCAATCAAAATTAAGGCGCCGCTTTCCGCTTATGTCTTATTGCCCATCACCATAAATTAAAATAAGGATGCATGACAGCTGAGCGGGACTCTGCAAATTAAACCATGAAGCTCTGACCAACGTGAGGAGAGTTTACTCACACATGTCTTGTTTTGGCTCTTTTGGTCTGTGTAAAAACTTTGCCGTGTGAAAGCGAACCGCACCAACAACAAAAATAACATTGTAACATTTTTAATCCCTGTTTCGGAATAAATGAATCGATTTACAGGTGTGAAAGCACCGTAACTAGCTATAATGAATATCTAAATCGTACCACTGTTACATCAGTGATTCTACAGTAACACTGGTGTAAGTAAACCCTTCAGCTGAGTATCTGTAGTTCTCAATATCATCTGTATGTTTATTTATTTCACTTTTGTATGAACATTTTTCTTTGAATTCTACTTTTCTAGGCATTTGTTCAGTGCAAATCCAGAAGCACAGTATCCAGATACCTTGGCTTTAACCTTTGACCCCGTGACCAAGCACTTGACGTGCGTGTATAATGACCACAGCGTGTACGTTTGGGATGTGCGGGACATCAGGAACGTAGGAAAGGTCTATTCAGCCCTGTACCACAGCGGATGTGTGTGGAGTGTGGAGGTGGGTTAGTGACAGACCGTTCATGTTGATGTCAATGATTACATGCTACACCCATGCAATAATGTATGAATATTCACTGCAGACCTATCCAGAGCTTGAAGATCCATCGGCGGCCTGTTTGTCACCGGGGTCTTTCCTCACTTGCTCATCTGATAACACCATCCGCTTGTGGAGAAGCGAGTCCCCACAGAGTCACAGCGCTGCACTCGGCCTTCGACACAACCTTTATAGCCAGGTACAGACAACTGCAAGAAATCATAAATGTAGATGTCTAAATAAAGTGTGATTTCATTTTTTATAATCTCTTAATTATAAAGATGTTAATCTTTATAATCTCTTAGTTCACTGACAGCTCAAATTTAGCCTGGTTTTAGCCAACATATATCCATGTTGCCAAATTAAATTCCAAAAAGTTGTATAGTTGTGCGTTGTTACATGTTAGCATGATGTAACCTTGCTCTGACTTGAAATGTTGACACTTTAAAGGGCACCTATGGTGAAAAATCTACTTTTCAAGCTGTTTGGACATACGTGTGTAAGTGTAGTGTATATACTGTCATATTGGGGTGAAATAAACACACCCAGTCCTTTTTTTTCCAAATTTAGCAACATAAAAACGGTGGACCAATTGGAGCGGTTTTCAGATCGACCGCAACTTGACGTAGGAGTGCGTTTTTTTTTTTTTTGTTTTTTTTATTTATTTATTTATTTATTTTATTTTTTACATTTTTTTATTATTATTATATTTTTTATTTATTTTTATTTATTTTTATTTATTTATTTTATTTTATTTTTTTTTTATTAATTTATTTATTTATTTTTTATATTTATTTTTTTCCCGCCCACCAATATTGATTGACAGCTGCGCGCATTAACATGTCTCCGTAGTAAAGCATAAAATCATATCGACAAGACAGGACGAGCGCAAAGCAACCGGGAATAAAAGGTCTGTTCAGTTTGCCCGGATCATCAATCATCATCAGACGTGATCAAGAGTGAGTTTTACGAGGTTAACATGTTTTAAAACGTGCGCACGAGTGTATTGAAGTACAGCGATTCACTTCAGATTCACTTCATCAGCACAGCCTCGAGTCTCTCTCACTGTCCGTATGTCTGCGCTATGTATGTGTGTGTCTGACTGTCTATGCTATGTATGTGTGTGTGTCTGTGCTATGTGTGTGTCTGCGTGTCTACGCTATGTATGTGCGCTTTTGTCTGAGCTACATGTCTGTGCTATGTGTGTGTGTGTTTGTGTGTCTGTGTGTCCACGCTATGTATGTGCGCTTTTGTCTGCGCTACGTGTCTGTGCTATGTGTGTGTGTGTGTGTGTGTGTGTGTGTGTGTGTGTGTGTGTGTGTGTGTGTGTGTGTGTGTGTGTCTGCGCTGTGTGTGCGTGAACTTATTGTTGCAACTCCACAAAAAGTGTGTCAAATACTGATTGGTAAAGTTCTTACTGTAGTATTTCTCACATTTGTTATGTGAAATCTGCTTCCTGAGGCAGCCGAGGGCGTCGATTGAGGCATGTTGCTGACAGGCACATGGGAACGGTGGGCGGGGTTGACTCGCCTTAAAGGCCCAGTGCAAAAAACAGCCACAACCTTTTCCCAGCTATAAAACAGACTCCTCAAACAGCTATAATAAATACTCTGATGGGTGTTTTGAGCTGAAACTTTACAGACACATTCTGGGGACACAAAAGACTTATGAAATATGAAATAAGGGGTAACCTATGTGCCCATTAAGTGCTTTAATTTGAGACTATTGACCAGGAAATTCTTTGAAAGTTGCTTTTTAATATCATGTTCACCATGGTGTGGGAACCCCGATTAAAGATGAACGAACGAAAGTGAATGCATAAGCTAGAGAAATTTCCTTGACATCAAATATTCTTCTTGAATTCATTGATTTAGTATGTGGATGTGTTTCAGGACATTGTAAGGATAGTGTATGTGGATGACGACACGCAGTACCTCAAAGCTGAAGCTGAGAAAGCAGAGGGAGGTGCTGGTCAGGATGGCAAATCTGGGATCCGGGTGTTGGGAATCAGCCCAGATGGCCAGCATTTGGCTGCTGGAGACCGCAGTGGAAACCTGAGGTGAGGAGTGAGGGAATCAACGCGTACATATAAACCATAAATGCTGAATCATATGCTGAATCGACAATCTCTTCTTCAGAATCTTTGGCTTGCAGTTTATGGACGAGTTACAGAAAATTGAAGCCCATGATTCAGAGGTCTTGTGTTTAGCCTTCTCCCCTGCTGAGACCGGTACAGAATCCTTTTCTTTATTTCAAATGCATGTTTGGATTGCACAAATAATGTCATGTCTTGTGTTATTGCTGAATCACTGATGTAACCATTTGAACACATTTTGCTTTCGTTATAGTTGCAGTTAGTCTTAGTATCTTGGTTGTGCACAGATTCCTCAATTCATCCATTAATGTCAAGTTGATTTAAATGTGTTATAGAATGCATTGATACAATAGCCCCTTTCACACAGTGATACCGGTAAATATCCGGAAAATTTCCGGAAAGACTTTACCGGTATATTGAAAAAAGCGCTGTTCACACAGGCGAGGACGTTACGGAAATTTTCCGGAAAAGAGCATTCACACATCCAATCCAAAATACCGGTAAATTCTGACATCATTCACCACAAATGAGCTTTAAACGGCTGCGCTTGTATTTGTAAACATTTGACTAAATTACAAACTCTGTGGATGATCAATATTGTAAACAACTTTCGCAGGATCACTTTCGCATGTCGAGACGTTCATAATATGTGCGTGTGCACGCGCTCACAGGTTGTTTCACAGGCACACGCAAAGCTTGAAGGTAAACAAACAACGGCTTATCATAAGCATCTCATCGATGATTATTTACACAGTTGGCATAAAGAAGAACATATAAACGTGATCTGACTAACTTCCAGCAGCTAAATGTGTCTGGAAAAATATTCAAAGGCTTTTATCCTCACAAACCGCGCGGACGTAAATGCGTCTGACTGTTGTGATTGGCTAAAGCAGACGTCTCACGTCAGCACGTTCTAGACGTGCACGCGCTTATTACGGGAATCTTCCTTCTGCATTCACACAGCGCAGCATTCCGGCAAATTACCGGTAATGTTACAACTTCTCTTTCCGGAAAATAGCCAGAACGAATTTACCGGTATTTTCAAAAAGGACCTGTTCACACATACAACCTTTCCGGAAAATTGCCGGCAATTTTCCTGAAAGGTCTGTATGTGTGAAAGGGGCTAATTTTAAATTGTTCTCTGATATCTAAACATGTGGCATAGGAGACTTGTTTAGAGTTGTGTTTTGTAGTTTTAACTGAAATGAAAAGCTGACAGTAATATCAACCTTCATATAAACACTTTTTGAAGTTCATTAGCGTCTTTTCACTCCAGAAAAATGACAGTGTGTCACATCTCTGTACAGTGTAGATTCCTAAACAGAGTATAGGGTTTGTGTCAAGATTGTAAACAACAGCACTGATTGTATGGTTAATTGTATGGTCTAATCCACAGGTGTCAAACTCAGTTCCAAAAGGGCCGCAGCTCTGCATAGTTTAGTTCCAACCCTAATTAAACACACCTGATCAAACTAATTGAGTCCTTCAGGCTTGTTTGAAACCTACAGGTAAGTGTGTTGGAGCAGGCCCTCCAGGAATTGAGTTTGACACCCCTGCTCTAAATCATTAAAATGTGTGGAAAGAATTCTCAAATCAAGAAGGACTTGGTAGCTAGAATAAGTGTCAATGCCAAGTTTATTCGGTGTCAGAATATTGCACAAGATATTAATTGTAATACTTCACTGAAATGACAAGTACAAGCATGAATTCTTGCACTGGAAATCTTGGTTCAGTTTGGGGAAGCACCAACTGCTTTTTTAGTTATTTATTTTTAAAATTTGTTATAACTTTTGCTGATCTTTATAGGACTCTAAATGTTTTTTCACCATCTGACTGATTATAGAGGCCAAAACTTGACAGTATTTGCAGCAACAATCATCAAAATATAGGGCTGAGCGATAATTCGACATTGATAATTATCACAATATATATATATTTTTTCGATAAAATGATAATGCCAGTTCGATTAGTGTTCCATATTCACGCACTATGCGTAAAGCTGCGTAGACGTTTTGCAGCCTGCCCTTCCGGGTACGCATGCAGTACAAGTTTGCAGCTATGCACTGTTAGTTGCACTTGGAGGAGTAATAAAAATAAATAAATAAGATAAAAAATGTCACACATTGTTGACAAGAAACGTCACTTGACTTTAGTAGTCTGGAGCTACTTGGTTTTATGTAATCCGACACAAAGCAGAGCAACGTGACAGAGCAAACTGCAGACGACTCGTGTCATTAAAGCAGGCAACACCACAAACCCGTTTCATCATTTAAAGCAATGTTACCCTTATAAAGATGCTAAGAAATTACAGACCATAACGAGTGTTGGTAAACCAGCGCAAACACCTAGCAAAGTTTCATGTCATCATTTTCGAAAGCCGTGCCTTATGAGAAAAAACCTCAAAGACAGACGAAAGATATGACACATCACAATCTTAAACACATTTCAATAAACACTTGATGCTTGCTGTAAACTATAAGCTGCATTATAGGGCATTTGTTACAACATTGATTGGATCATTTGTTGTCAACCTTATGTTTCCTTTTTTAAAAGGCTATTAAGATATTTTCTTTGAAATCTGTAATACCACTATTGTCCCTCATCGACGGGAAAATCAACCAGCCTTTATTAAGGACATAATCACTGAGGAGAAATCAGATGCTCAAGACAAAATCTTTAAAATAATGACATAGCAAATATATGACAGGCGTTTACAACAGCAGTGGATCATTAATTAAATCCTTATTTTCCACAATAGAGCTCAGTTATGTGGTGTCGTTTACATTGTGTGCCTCCAATATGGCCGAACGAAAGTGCTCTTGTCTTAATTGTGTTCATATCAGAATATTGTTGTTCATGTTAACACCGAGTGTAACTGAATGTGTTTTTGCTGTCAGGTTTGCATCTGTTGGCTTCAGCGAGTCGAGATCGACTGATTCACATCTTTGACATGGACAGCAAATGTAACCTCGTGCAGACCGTCTATGATCATTCGGCCTCAATCACTGCTGTCAAGTTTACAGGTGAGTTCAAGGTGTATACAGCGTGTACACTCTTATATCTTTAATTTATTCTGACTTTCATTTATTTGTCTGCATGTGTTTCTGCAGGCTTGAATTCAGAGTTGTGTATGGTCAGCTGTGGCGCAGACAAGAGTGTTTATTTTCGATCTGCTGAGAAAGTAAGGATACTGAGATTGCTATAGTGTAATGAGCTGTTTTATTAGGGTTACTTCAGAGATGGCCTAGACCAGGGGTCACCAATCTCTGTCCTGGAGGGCCAGTGTCCCTGCAGGGTTTAGCTCCAACTTGCCTCAACACACCTGCCTGGGTGTTTCAAGTATTTCTAGTAAGACCTTGATTAGCTTGTTCAGGTGTGTTTGATTAGGGTTGGAGCGAAAATCTGCAGGACACCGGCCCTCCAGGAACAAGTTTGGTGACCCCTGGCCTAGACACATGCACAGTTTAGTTTCAACCCCAATTAAACACCTGATCAAACTAATTATGTTTAAAGGTTCAGGACACCCTGGAGAACTAACAGATATGTGTGTTGAGCATCAGTTAAGACTATGTTAGCACCTGTCAGCTTTAATTGTGGGGAAAACTGGATAATTTTGAGCTTTTGTCAGCTAATTTCAGCTTCCGGGTTTAAAATGATTTTTGGGGCGGGATCAAAATCGGCGACGTAGCGCAGTACCGCAAGTGCAATGATGACGCGTCGGTTTCTCATTATTATTCATAGCGGAGTTTTCTTATCCTATGAGAAGAGCCAGCTGCTTAATTATTCATGAGACCTGCCAGAGTCAAGCCCGAGCTGTGAGACACGGACCCAAGCACACAGTTTTTAGCCTTTCATGAAGGCTCATATGCGTTTGTTTCCATGATCCACGGGGTTTGTTGCATGTTTTCCCCCGCGATCTTGTCAGGGCCGATCATACAGCAAAGCTGTGTGTGTGCTGCTAGCATTTTTGTCGGGAGAGCAGCACGAGAATTAGAGAATGGCGGACGCTGTCTTTTATCAGGAGTTCGTTCACATTCAGACACATCACTGTGCTGCTGTGTTTGCCTAAATCCTCCAGATTACCAGCAGGGCTAACGGTTAAAATAGACAGGTCAGGAGACCTGCTGCACTGAGTCTGCTGGATACGGGGATCGAGGGAGAAGTCCTCATTTATAGTGTTTACATGAACACACTTATCTTTATAATGATATAAATTGTGGTTGTGTATATGAAATTACGAATAACAAATGTAGCAGGGCATTAAATCACTGTTCATTTCTTTGCATTTTAACTTTTTAAACTATAAACTCATGCGTCTCTTCACGGTTTGTCCCATTTTGTGAGCTAACTGTCAACAACAGTTGTTCGCTCGCGTTCTCCCCTGCTGGCCACGCCCACTCCTGCCCGATGCTCGTGGAGCTCCACGCCCATTAATCATGCATCTTTTGAAAAAAATTCTGAAGTAGACTAACCGAAAGTGGGGGGTGTCATGGCCCTTTAAGGCTTGTTTGAAACCTAATAGCGCAGTCACACCAGAGTTTGAGCTTGCGAAATTCTGTGGTACGGACAAACAAAATATGTGTGAAAGTACCGCAAAAAGACGTTTACTTGCATTAATAGACCAAAGAATTTGATGCAGCACAGTGAAAAACTACAATCTCAAATGTCTATACACAAAAAGCTATTAATTGGCCAAACCACGCTGACTGGAGGATTGGCATCGCCATTTGTGTGTTGTGTTTGTGAGTGCTAACATTATGGAGATCAAATTGGATTAGAATCGTGAAAATGTTTTTCAGACTAAAAAAGAAAGTTGTGCTGTTACAGATCCTGGTCTTGTATTGTTCCTTTCTCCTCTTTCTATTTAGTTGATGCAGCCTTTAGTAATTTGCTTCTTATATCATATATGATATATTATAATCAGTCATTTATTTTTAGAGCAATTTGTGTTGTTCATTTTTGGTTTGAAAGTAATTTTTTATTTAGCTGCACAAAGTTTTAGTTGGTTTATATTAAAGAGTCTCTTTAGTTTGTATTATTCACTTTATTATTTGCATTTTGTTTTAAGATTGCAATTTAGTTGTTGCAGAAAATTTCTGTAAAAAACGTGCAGCATTTGAGAAAAAAATGAAAGGGTACTTGTTCACCTTAATTTTGTGATAAAATCGTTTATCGTTAGATTAGTATTGTGAATCGTATCGCATCATGAGTCGCTACATCCCTAATTTTAATAGCTTTTTTCATACGTTTTAGTTTGGTAACATTTAATTTAGCCGTCAAAGCAAAATCCAGAAAAACAAACAAAATATAAAAACATTGGGAGGAAATAAACTGGAATTTAGGGAAAAATACAACATGGCAGACTGTGACGGGGGATTTGACAGAATATTGTTGCTCAACCAAATGAGCTTTGTAGGGTCAGTTCATTTAGTCATTAAATGCTGTTTTAGTTACAGCTATGTTTTTAAACGCACTGTTTTTATGTCTATCTTTAAAGACTTCAGATGGCTTAGTCTTCTCACGATCACATCACATAGTGGAGAAGACAACGCTGTATGACATGGACCTGGATGCCACACGCACACACACAGCCATTGCGTGTCAGGACCGCAACATCAGGTAGGGTCTTTGTGTGAAATCGTACTTCTGCTTATGATTTTTTTTTTAATGCTAATATTACTGTAATGAGGTTACTGGCCGTTGGGAAAGAGGCAGAGAACAGATAAACTAAAAAAAAAAAAAAAAAATCATTTTTTTAATGAGAAAATAAAACAAACCGACAGCAGCTCCTCACAGAGACTGCCACCAAACTGAAAGCAAAAGAAAAATGAAGTGTGCATGTCTGGTTCTCTCTTGTCCTCCACTGCTGTCTGTCCTGCTTTTAACGGTGTCTGTTTGCAGGTGTCTGTAATTAGCTCTTCCGCCTCCTGCCTCGTATGCCTTCACGGCTCTCGGCCCCGTCTTATGCCGAGTTCAGACTGCATGATTTTCAAAGCAGTCGTGTCACAGATGTATTCACACTGCATGACTATCTGGGCTTGTGTTTTGTTGCTAGTTTGTTTACACTGCAAGATGGATCGGCGACAGGGGCTTTCACACTGCATGACTTTACAATAGGAAGAATCGCCGACAACTTCGTCCAAACTACTTCTTACAGCCAAAAACACGTCGTATATCTTTTGTTATTAACTACATAACGAGACACTGGTGCTCCTGTCAAACCTCCACTAGTTTTTCTTGGGTCCAAATAAACCGCAAATGAGCGCTTTTAACTTCTCCCTCATACTCCCGCTGGCCTGCAGATACACACTAGTGAATGCTGCTCTCTCATTGGCTGTAGGCGATCGCCGATGTTATTTTCAGTCAACTTATTTCATACAGCATGATTTGAATCGCCAACAGCTCCAGATATTTAACACACCAAATATCTTACAGGCATCGGCGACTCATGGACTATTCTCTTATGCTGTGTTCACACCAGACGCGGAACGTGCGGATAAATCGCGCTATTATCGCGTAAATAGCCGTGTGAACATTTGAGGTTACTCGCTTCTTTCGCGCGTCAAACCCCGCTTCATTCGGGCGTCAAACCCCGCTTCATTTGCGTGTCAAATTCACATTAGAACAGACGCAGATTCGCGTGAAGGGCAGGGCTTCTGTCTGCCCCGTGACTCTAGCTTCATAGCTAAAGGGCTAACATGGATTTTATGAAGAAAATAACAGTGTTTATGTGCTTTATGAAGGATGATAAACAGCGTCGATACGTTTAGGGCCGTGTCTGAGTCCACTACATCCTTTCAGAGGTGTATCCAGCTCTTTAAGCTCATAGACTCCTCCAGAAACTGAACCTGGCTGATGGAGGTTTTCAGCGGTGCTTCTGACTGAGCCCAGCCCAGTTTGATGAACTTCTTGTCGGTGTCTGCTGGGGGATTTCCCCTGGAACACCGACAACAGGCGATATGTCACAATCACGCCCCCACAAGAGCAAGCTCCTGATTGGTTAACGCGGCGCGAATGTCTGCTGAAGTTCAGATTTTCGAACTCGAGTGATTTGCACGAAATGCGCATTAAGCGCGTCAAACGCGCAAAATGATCAATTCGCGCCATGCGCACCGCACAATTCTCGTCATTCGCGCCGCGCTATTCGCGCGTAATGCACCGCAGGATGTCTATTCCCGCGTTTGCATTGACTTAACATGTAAATCACTCGCGCTTGATGCGTGTTCCGTGTCTGGTGTGAACGCAGCATCAGATTTCGTCTTTGATAGTTCATACTGTGTGATTGTCACTCGCTTGCACGAGCACCGATTTGCCTGTGATTTCAGGCGAGTCTGTATCCTGGGTCAAAATTATGCAGTCTGAACTCAGCATTACTTGCTACAATTACTATCAATATTTGCCTGCGTTGAGGTTGTGCATTATTAGATCTACTGTTGGAATGAATGTCATTTAATAAACTTGTTTTGTATTTTTAGAGTTTACAATGTGAAGAGTGGAAAGATGAAGAAGTGTTTCAAGGGCTCTATGAATGATGACGGGACACTGCTAAAGGTGTGTGTGTTTGTGTAAAATGCTCTTAATGATATAGCAGAGGAACTTCATTTATCCCAATAACTTTTTTTCGGCTCTTAGGTTCAGTTGGATCCCTCTGGGATGTTCTTGGCCACCAGTTGTTCAGACAAAAATATCTGTGTCTTTGATTATGAGTCAGGCGAATGTGTGGCCACCTTATTTGGACATTCAGGTGAGATTACTTTGCTTAATCACCGAGTTCACGCAGCTTAATCAAAAAATATAATTGGTTTCCTTGATGTTTTGCAAACTTTTGTTCCCTCACAGAAATAGTTACAGGTATGAAGTTCAGCCAGGACTGCAGGCATCTCATCACTGTGTCTGGTGACAGGTAAAACTGCTTTCAAGCCACATGTTGATGTATTTTTTCCAGCGTGATCTTTATGTAATAATTAATCATAATGATCTAAATTCAATTTAATCAAAATGTAATTTTTAAAAAAGTATTTAAAGGAATGGTTCACCCAAAAATGACAATTTACTCACTATTTACTCTCCCTCAAGTGGTTCCAAACCTTTTTAGTTTGTTTCTTCTGTTGCTCACTAAAGAACAGTATTGACTTGCATAGAACAAGCAACAAATACTGTGAAAATCAGTAATGAATGTGTGTAAATTTATATTCGTTTACTTTTTTTATTAATTTCAGTAATATTACTTGCTTATATGAAAATGTTCATGTTATTTACTTGCAATATAGTTTATAAAGTATTATTATTATTATTATTATTATTATTAATATTACTACTATTATTTTGATTATTGTTGTTTATTATAGTTATTATTATTATATTATTATTATTATTATTATTATTATTATTACTACTACCACTACTACTAATTATTATTACTACTATTATGATTATTGTTATTATTATTATTATTATTATTATTATTATTATTATGACTGTTATTATTATTACTACTATTATTTGTGTTGTTGTTGTTTATTATAATCATTATTAATATTATTATATTATTATTATTATTACTACTACTAACACTACTAATATTTTTGATATTACTTTTATTATTATTATTATTATTATTATTATTGTTATTATTATTATTATTATTATTACTATTATTAGTATTGCTATTATTATTACTATAATTAGTATTTAATCTCTCTCTGTCTTTCTCTTTACGTATATCCAGCTGTGTGTTTGTGTGGCGTCTGGACTCTCAGATGACCAACTCCATGAGGAAGAGGTTGGCAGAGAGGAAGCAGCAAGCAGGCCTGAGGCTCCAGCGGGCTCCCACAAAACAAGAAGTCATCAGGTAGAGCTCTGTCTGCTAGCTCATGTCTAGAGTAGGGTTTTTGACAACTAGTTGATGTTTGTCATTTGTGCACATTTTGCTGCATTAGTAATTTCCAGTGGAACCTGTGTGCATTGGGAACCTAGAAGTTGTCAGTTATGTTTGTTAAAAGCTGCTTTGTGATTTCTCTTCTGTGTGAACTCTTCCACATTGATGACAATAGACCATGGCAAAAGTGAATTCTATTAGCATGTTTAAATAATAGGTGGAAATTGGGTATGAATTAAACATAAATTGAGATTCAAATTTATAGATCGCAGCAGTACTTTTATTTATTTTTTATTATTAAACTTTGTGAAAAAATGTTTATGATTCTTACATGTGTTTATGATATTCTCAAATGAACATACGGCTTGTGGATTTAAGTTTACACCAGTAGACAAATGCAGATATTGATGCAAAAGTAGGTAAATGTTTGTCAGAGGAATATCCTCCACATATGTTTTCCATTTACTTATAATGTTTAGATGTTTTGAATGTTTTAAATTTAATTTGATTGTCAGAATTTTGCTCATGAATGCTTGCTTTTTTACATTCATTCATTGTTTTTCAATTATAATAATTATTATTTTTTTTACGATTTTAGAACATTTGGACATTTTTATTTGAAGAGGCAAGAAGTGTGTGTGTGTGTTTAGGACTAAAATGGATTTAAAGGTCTTTATAAACCACAAAAACTGTCTTTAGTTGCACTGGTATATTCGTAAGAATGGCCAACAATACATTGTATGTGTAAATTATTATTATTATTATTATTATTATTATTATTATTATTATTTTCTTATTCAAAAATAAAGTAAAAAATGAAGTTCCATGAAGAGATTTTGCAGGATTCTTACCATAAATATGTGATTATGTACACATGCATGTATCTATGCATGTACTTAAATTGGCCAACATAAAGGCAATTCATTTTTTTTTGAACCCTAGTAGTTTCTTGCCTGAGCATTGTTCCTTCCTTACATCCTAATCCTAGCTTATTGATTCAGTTTAAAAAATAAAAAGAAGTGTTTGACTCATTTTTCCTTATATGGCATGAAATCAAATGTTTTATTTTTCCAATTTGACAGACGAGAGACCTACATCACCGTGCCCTGTAATGCACTGACCCATATGGAGGAAGATGGCTTGATGGCTGAAGTAAACCCTGAAGACGGTTTGGAGGACTGCAGAACCCCTGATAGACTCGACTCTACAGATGGTGGGTTATTTGATCTCTTTGGTGTTTATTTATTTTATTTTTTTATGGGACTGATTTTTTTAAAAAGATGTTTGGGTTACAATTCTTTTCGGCTGACATCATGTATGGATTCGGACCATAGACTTAAATATATAGACGTAGTATCCGTGACGTCACCCATAGGTTTCTGAACAGTGCAAAAGAAACCACAAGCAGGCGCGGCCAACCGTCCCCATTTGTTCGCGCGGCATCGCATACGCGGCGGGATGCCAAACAAGGGCAAAAAGGCAGAAAGTGAGCGAAGCTACAGACACCTGCTGGTATTTTGCTTGGATCTGGCTTAGACAGACTTTACTTTGGGAGAAATGCTTAATACTTCTTTACCTGCGACTCGTTTGTGTTCTGACCACGTGCTTGGTTGTACACTATATCAGTAAAGTGTTTAGGCTTTTAAAAACAGTGTTGTAACACATTAGGCCACTAAGCATTGTTCTTATGATGTTTTTCTACAGGAGGAAAACAAGAATTACTTCCAAACACTTCAGATATAGTCTGTGTTAGTTAATGCAAGACTGTTGATGAAATCCAGCATAACACTGTATGACAACGCTTCAGATGACTGTTCTAGAGCCTACAGCTAATCAATCTGTCAAATTCTGCAGTGCTTTACAGCTCTAAAAAAATAGAATAAATAATCTTAAATAAAACAAAAACATTTAAAGAGATGGTATATAAGTATATAGTTTCACTCACCTGGGAAATGGAGGCCACGTGAATGGTTTGTGAGCACAATTAAGTGCACACAGCATCCCATATCATCTCATAATTGTAAGAAATAAGTCCAAAAGGACTAGCAGAATTTCGATGAATTGCAGTTTCAGTTACTTATGAATTGGCTTCCCGAGGGAGAGCGGGAGGTTGCCGCTTGATTTGGACGGGACAAACATTTCTGTGTTTTTATTACAAAGCGTCTGTGTTTTATATGTGGTAAAGTAAAACATCCTAAAATGTATTTGTTACATTTGGTTTATTATAAAAACTTATATAACCCTCATATTACAACTTTATTATAAGTTTATTGTTTTTATTTCTTTACTTTTATTAAATGTTTAAAGCTAAACAACCTAGCGTGTTATACTTTACACTTCAAAGTGCTTAAATGTAAATCTACTTATTTCAAAACACATTTGGTCAAATTTTTATTAATTGTTCAATGGCAGTTTTTTTATTATACTTCCTGAAATTTCCATTTCTATATCCTGAACACATGTTCCAGTGTAAACACAAGACACTCCTCTGTAATAAGCAAGGAAATGTGCTGATTCCATACATGAAATGACAGACATCAGCTGAAAGGATTTGTAACTCAAATGTCACCTTGAAAGCTAGTTCTGAACGTGTTTCCATGTTCCTCAATAACTACATGGGGAAAAAATGTGCGCTGAAAAAATGGACTTTTACCTTTCTGTTTTAGCATCTTTAGATTCTGTGGTGCTCCAAACCAATGGCAAAATGCCAATGTGGGTCCGCAGACTGGTATGTATGTTCCTCCTAATGGGGGCCTATTATGCAAAAATCACTTTTTAAATCTATGATTATAACCAGCTTCATTTAATTATTTTTTTTTACACTTTATAAAAACAGTTTATAGAAACAATTTGACATTCTGTCTTTGTGTCGATGCTGTATTCACACCAGACGCAGTTACTGTGCTATTAGCACGTAAATAGACGTGTGAACATTTGAGTTTACTCGCTTCATTTCTGCGTCAAATCCATTTTGTTTACACGTCAAATTCACTGAGCAATTGACATGGATTCTCTTCGTGGGCGGGGCTTCTGTCTGCCCGATGACTTTAGCTTCGTTGCTAAATGGCTAACATCTATTTTCTAGAGAGAATAACTGTTTATGTGCTTCAAGAAGGCTGAAAAACAGTGTCGATTTGTTTGGAGCCGTGTCTGAGTCCACTAGATCCTTTCAGAGGTGCATCCAGCCCTGCAAGTTCATCAACTCTTCCAGAAACTGAACCTGGATGATGGAAGCTTTCAGCTGTGCTTCTGACTGAGCCGAGCCCAGTTTGATGAACTGTTGTCTATGTCGGCAGCAGGATTTTTCCCCGGGACACTAGCAACAGGCGCTACGTCATAATCGCGCCTCCACAAGAGCAAGCTCCTGATTAGATAGCGTGGCGCGAATGTCCGCTGAAGTTTTGATTTTCGAACTCGAGCGATGCGCGCATTAAGCGCATCAACCCGCGCAAAACGCTCAACTTGTGCCGCTTCATTCTCGCAAAACGCCTCATTTGCACGTATCTTGCTGCTATTCGTGTCTTCAACATGTAAATCACCTGTTCTTGGCTCTTCCGCGTCTGGCATAAATGCAGCATTAGAAGCGGACGGCCCCGCCCATTAGTGACTATATCTTTTTCATTTGCATAGGATATTAGTCTTGTTTTTAAATCTGCCACTATGCTGGCACAGGTGTTTGAAGCTCCGCCTTCTGAAAAGAAAGCTGGGAGGACAATCTCATGTTAGAGCGACAGTCTCTAAAATGGCATGATTAAGATCAAAGCCTAAAAGGGGCTGTTTTAAAGAGTTAGGCGTTGTTTGTGAGGTATTTTAAGCTGAAACTTTACACACTCTAGTGTCATCAGAGTTATTTTTAAAATCTTGTAAAAATGTGCATAATGGGTCCCCTTTACAGTAAAATACCATTTTGCATTCTTTAATTATGCGTTCTTTAATGCCGAATGGATCACCTGAATTTTTCAGGGTGGAGAAGGTGAAAAGGATGGTACCGGCGCCGCTAATAGAGTTCAGTACCAGCCCCAGGGACGCTGGGCAGTGCAGTCAGATCCACTCGCTATCCGCACAGTGCTGGAAATGAAGAGCAATCAGCTTCCTCTCTCACACACTCCCAGCAGAGTCATGGGGGAGGAAGAGCTGGAGGAAGACCCTCGCTTCCACCCGCAGAGCCTGGACAGCCTGCTGGATGAAGATCTTGAAGATGGAGAAGAGGAGGAGGAGGAAAAGATATGTGGTGTAAGTTTGACCTACTAGTTTTTAATATATAGTGCTCAGCATAAATGAGTACACCCTCTGAAAATAAATATTATTAGCCTTTTTCTCAGTGAATATAGCCAATAGTTGTTGGTTAATTAAAAGAGAACTGTTTTACTAAATACTTAAATCAATTAAAATAAGTGTTTGGTTTCCGAACCTACTTTAGAAATAGAAAACCAATCCATTTAACAGGGTTCCCACCCTTAAAAGTACTTGAAATTCAGCCATTAAAAATGTCTGGAAAATTAGGCCTGGAAAATACCTAAAAACAAACACAGGTCCTTGAAGGTGCTTGTATTTAAGGTTTATGGTGTTATTCCACATCATACAATTCTTCTGTGCTGCTTTAAAAAAACTGAATGAAAAACACTAAGAAATTCTTAACTTTAAAAGTCTTAAATATAAGTCTTGTACAAGAACTGTGAGAAATAATGCACATTTGATCAATATTTTAGAAATCGCATTAGGATAATACTAATATCGAATTTTTTAAATGACGCATTCAAAATGTCTTTACTCTGAATTTGACAATGCAAATAACGAGTGCAAGTTAAATATTAAGTACAATAATCCTTCAGTTTGGTGTTCATGAAAGACTGGGAGTTATTGTTTTATTATATATTTTTTATGCATAGTGTCATGCCAGAGGACATGGTTTTTAGTTACCAAATGTATTAAGTTCCTATGTTTTTAGAGATGTATGGATGGAAAAGAAATGATTGCCATTTACTGAAATAGCCACTTGTAAAATTAGGCCTGAGGTATTTATTAATAATTTTTACAATTTTCTTTTCATTTATAAGAGCCATAATTTATTGCACTATGCTTGAGACAGTCACACCATTTTTCATAATAAGAGCTCCTTGGAAGACAAAAATGTTGAACCATGTCACACCAACAACACAAATATTTGAAGGTAAAATTGATTTTCCTGTGAAATTAATTATTTAAAAAAATATTTCTCAAGTTATATTCAGTTATATTTCAGTTTGTTAGCAGGTTTTAAATTTTTTGACGCAATTCAATATTATTAGCCCCCTTAAGAAACTATTACGCCTCATTCACACGGGGCGTCAGTGTCAATGCTTCCCATTCACTTTGAATGGGTGACGTTAGGCGTTTCCGAACTGCATTGTGGATCCGTCAGCGCCGCTTCAGAGGCTTTGCTCGCTGTAGAAGTTGGCACTAGCTCAACTTTTCAAGCGCCAACGGAAGCGTCAGCCAATCAGATCGCTGTATGCAAATACACCAGCTAGACAGTGGACTATTGCTGACTGAATTTCATTCGCCCCAACTTCACACATGCCTTCAGTCAAGCGTTGACGCTGAAGCCCCGTGTGAATGGGGCGTTACTTTTGATTAGTTTCAGTGACTTTAAGCTAACCTAATTAACTTAAATAAGCTTCTAGATAAATTGCACTTTTAGCTGAATACTTGTATCTTGAAAAATGTTTAGTAAAATCTTATGTACTGTCATTATGGCAAATAATAAATAAATCGATTAGTAGAAATTGGTTATTATTATAACTATTGTTTGAAAATGCTAAAAAAAAAACACTCTATTAAACAGTACTTTAATGATTTTTTTTATAAATATTTCTCAAAGCGAATAATTTTGCCTTAAACGCAATATTGTAATGTCCTTATTATTTGACTAGAAGTTTTGATGTTGATAAACCTCCCCACTCCCCTATCTCCTTTCAAATGTACCTCAGAATTTAAGAAAATGCTACTTAAATTGGTGTGAAAAGCTGTGAGCAGAAGGTAAGGGACTGAAGCAAAGCAGGGACAAGGAAGTGAGCGAGCAATGGATAAAAAACATGAAGAAATGCTTAATTTTAGATTTAAAAAAATGTAGTCACACGTTCCTACTTTTAAGGGACAAAGGTCCTCATCATCGAAGTGTTTGAATGTTGTCTCTGTTATCGTCTGAGTACAGTACAATCTACTGAGGGATCAATTTGCAAACATTGCAGTTTTGTTGTAAATGCTCTTTCAAGCCAATGAATATTAATGCCAATCACAGTCATATCTGTTGAGCACATGAATACAATGGCCAATCAGCAGTGTTCAATAATCCACTCGGCAACGCTCAAAATGCAAGCAGGAAATGATACTATTACTGACATGTCATCGAAGTACTCTGTCCTATGTTACCACAAGTGATCCCACCCCAATATAAACCTAGAAGGTAAAAACAGGGGGAAAAAATCTAAATTTGCCAATTATACCCAACAATTAAATGCTAACATTGTCTTAATATACGTTCAACAAAAATTTGTTACTCTCCGAAAATTTAGTCCAGGGTAAAAGTAACTTCCTTCTATTATATAAACTACAGTGTTGCTTTTCTATTAAACCATAAACCAGAATAATGATCAATCAATATACAACTTAAACTGCCTTTAAGGATGTCTTAATCCATGATGCTGAACTCTAAGAAGAGTTTAATATAAACAGAGTCCGTGCTAATCTGAATTAGCACTGGTGCTCCCAACATTAAAAAGTTAGGAGTACCAGCCAAAATTTAGTCGCACCCACCTATTCTAAGCACCGTTACTACAAGTTTTAATGTTATATTAACCGATTTACTGCATTTAAAATCAGCACTAAACAATCAAACAAACAAACAAAACGACATCCGCATGCACCCACTGGCCCTGCACGCACTGCTTGACATGAATGAAACTTAGTTAACGATAATAACTTTGCTGTTCTCACTGGTGCTGTGTAATATTGCACAGATAATACTGGCATAATAGCTTATTATTTGCATATGTCATCTTGGTCACAATTTACAATAAGGTTCATTAGTTAATGTTAATTAATGCATTTACTTACATGAACACACAATAAACAATACATTTACTACAGTATTTGTTCGTTATTTAATGTTAGTTAATGAAAATACAGTTGTTCATTGTTAGTTCATGCTAACTCATGGTGCATTAACTAATGTTAACAAGCATGGACTTGGATGTTAATAATGCATTAGTAAAAGTTCAGTTATGATTAATAAATGCTGTACAAGTGTTCATGATTAGTTCATGTTAGAAAATGCATTGAACCTAATGAACCTTATTGTAAAGTGTTACCGTCATCTTAATAGCAATACAGTTTTTTTAATGAGCTGCAATATTAGTTTTATCTTGATGAATGCAAGCCTTTTTGCGATGGTATACGTGGTGTTACGTTTTACATATAGCTGCCACCTGCGCAGCTGACAGCATCCTGACGATTAAATGAAGGATTAAACAGAACCTCTCGCGCCTAATGTGTAGATTTTGCGAATGTGTTACCTGCAAACTCCATCACACCGGCTTTATGATGAATGCTTTAACCATTTTCATAGTGGACTTTAAACACTGTAATTTTTTTATCCACTCTTCGAAAAGTGTTAATGCTCACATAACATTCAGCGCTTGATCACTGATCAGAGGTACCATTATTTTAAACTTGCATGTTTTCTAAAATTAAATCTGTCAGTGTTGTTTTCATTCTCTCATTTTCAGTGCTTTACATGTTCGTGGTTGTAGCACTCCCTGTCATCTAAAGAAAGGCATCGACTGAGTGATTGACAGCTGATATTACCCAATCTGTTCTCATTCAGTGCTAGAGCAGTGGGCCAATCAGAAGAGCTTAAAGGCGGGGCAAGCATTGCGCACTTTGTTTACTGCAGCTAGTTGACATGACAACTGTTTTAAACTATGCATGAGTGCTGCGTTTGGGGTGTCAGATGCTAAGATGCGTGCTGCGTGTGGGGTGAACATTTTGTAGTGAAAACTGGTTGCACTGCACCAAATTTATGCAGTCGCACAAATGCTCCCAAATATATTTTGAGGTAGCATAGATGAAATTTTAGGCACATATGCGACCAAAACGGTCGCAATTTCGAGCCCTGCCGCACGCCGTATGGAAGATAGAAAAAACTCTCCGCATTTCTTAGTAGATGCAAAGACTCTGTAAGTTGCTTGTGTGTATAGACTATCCTGTCACAAAATTCGGTGAAAGACCTACACAACAATAATAGTTGATTAAGGTGTTTACATGTTTACATTCGGAGAGCAGCATTTATAGTGTAATCCACACACGAGTCCACATGCCAGCTGTGCTCTCATAGCGGGGAAATGGAAACAAAAACCTTTGTTGTGGCACATATACAAACACAACACTGACGACCCATGTCTCTGAACAATTCTTCTTCTTTCACTTGTTTTAATTACGGTTGACAGCACAACTTGGCGTCTCTCTGAACACTGTAACAGTTAAAAACAGCTTCTTCGAAGCTATGTCATGCATATAAATGAAGTTGCACCTCATTCACAAAATAGTGCGCTGATTGATGGTCTGGAAACACTCAGAAGTGTTTCTCATAATTTGCTCAAAGCTCAAAAACGTGACATTGTACCCCCCAGTACAGACCTCCAGTCTTCATGCTGCAATTTACACAAGGATCGAATCGCTGTGACGCAGCTTCAAAATTTCTTTTCAAACGTAAGAACGAATTTGCTTGAAATAAGGGAAAAACAACCGATTTTTAACTTTTTTTGTAAAATATGTGTGTCCTAATAAAGTTTTTAGCAACGTGGGACATGTATATGACTTTCAGCTTTCCAAAAAAGGCACTTCGTGACCCTATTAAAACGTTGCCGTTTTAAATTTAACCAAATCATTAAACTTAAGTATCTTAAATTTCAAAAATAAAGAATTTGTGTGCTCCAATTGTTGTATAGTTTTATGTATTGTTGAACCAGACTTATGTGTAAGCATAAACATCGATATGTGCTTTACAATAGTGAAATTGTTCCGGAAATGCAGTTCAGTTTGTAGTTGGTTTAATATTATAAAAATATCTGTGTACACTAAAAAGAAAAGACGAACAACCAGCTAGACCTGAGGCATACCAATTATTTCTCGCTGTTCTCATTCTCTATTGGACATTCAACTTATCAATTTAATGAAGATTCCTTTTTTGAGCAATTTATAAACTTACATGCACTTTGTTGGTGCTTGTTGTATCCTTTAATCAACTCATCAAGAGTGAATGTGTCTAGTTAGTCTTGTATTTCTTCTAGTGACCAAATATCAGAAAGAAATTGCTACAGGCAGTCATTATGATCTTGCTCACTCCTTTCTTATTACTATGTTAAACCTTCGGTCAGGGGAGCACGAGATTCCAGCACAGCCAATACAGAAAGTATTTTTGAATTGTTAATGGAGGCCAACAACAACATTAAATTTAGAACTCATACTATGAGGAAGTGAGACCTGTTTGAACAAGCCCCAATTATTGTAACCACATAGTCATCTGGTATCATATCTGAAAGTGTTTGTTTATTTATTTGTAGGTTTCCAGCGATGGCTTTAGCTCTTCACTCCACGGGCCAGAATTTCTGCAGTTTCCACATGGAGAGGAGAACTTCAATCCAGAGCTCAGCTCCTCAGAAAAGACCGGATATATTTTATATCCTGCTAACAGCACAGCTCTGTCCACTGGTGAAGGGTAAACTTCTTATAATGATATCTGGCCTGGTTCCTTTTTTATTTAGAGGCCAAGATTGTTTACATTAATTCACTTAGCAGATGCTTATCCAGCAACACAAGAATTTGTTTAATATTGGAAAATGCCAGGACATATTAGAAATGTATATTGATGTGTAACTTCAGTTTTAAATTGGTTCCAATTCGTCTGATTTGAAGGGAGAGATCACCCACTAATGAACGTTTACTCGCTGTTTACTCGCCATCAAGTGATTCTTCATTCTGTTCAACACAAAATATGAAGTTTTCAAGAAAGCTAAAAACCTGTAATAAAGAAACTCAAGCAGATTTGGAACAAGTTAAGGGCGAGTAAATGAAGACTACGGTTTTGGGTGAACTGTCCCTTTAAGCATGCTTATTTTTTTATGATGCAATTATTTCAGATCCACACCAATCCTTTTAATTTACTTTCATTTTACCTCAACCATGTCCATTTAGATTGCTTTTATCTTTGTTTAGTTGTGTAGTTTTATCCCTGAGCAATCAGTCTGGTTATAAACATAATTATTTAAATAGTAATGAAAGCTGTTGTGGTGTACACTCAAGAAAGAAAGGGACCAAGCATTCAGCCCTGAGGTATACCAAAGTTGCGTAGTTGCATAAAGTAAGTTTCACCATCACCCCATGGTTGATTTGAGTTCAGTTGATTGGAGGTACAGTTTGTTTTTGTGGTGGTTGTGCTGAATTAATCTGAAGATTGAATTATGCTCTCATTTAAAAAATTTTTTTTTATGTTTTTTGTTTTTCAACTTCATTTTAGTACTTCAGATTCCTATGCGAAAAATCACAAGTAGGGGTGTCAAAATGAATCGTTTCGACCGCGATGCAGATGCAGACAATTCGGTAATTCGGTCAGTAATAATCATAAGCGGTTATCACTGACGTCATTTACCTCATATGCGCTTTGTCGCGAGGGAGGTGAGCGCGAGTATTTACAACGCTCTAACTACTTAAAACTCATAAACTGTGCACAATTTCACTGTGTGTGTTTGCTGGATCAGTCTTTCACTGACATATACAACAAAACCCCCTATTTCACTGAGATCGAGAGAATGAAAGTACTCCATTTCTCTTTCTCTCGCTCTCTCTCTCTCTCTCTTTCTCTCTCTCTCTCTCACACACACACACACACAGTGGCCCATTTGACCTGCTGGCGTGGCTTTTCTTCTCCTCTCGGCTGTTTTACAGCGTTACTTGTGGATAAAGAAACGAGCGCGTGTCTGCAGAGTTTTCTCCGTGTCTATCATGCATCAGCTGTGAGATCGCCACTGCCGCCTGCCGCTTATTAGTGTCACTCATCTGTGAAGAGCACAGCGCGCAAGAGCCAATCACAACCGTTTTTGTTGAGGGTGTGACCAATTAAAGAGGTGTAAGAGAACTAGACAAGGATCAGAAATTGAGCTGGATATTTAAGTTAGTTTATATTATTTGCTTAATGCTCGTTTTGTTTAAAGTTACAGGTTTTATATCTGACTGTATTAAATGACAAAATTGTATTACGAATAATATATAAATATAAATATATTCATACATTTTATTACAAGAACTGCTGCTGTGACGAAAATATAAAACTGTGTATGAAAAGCACCGTCAATGCACCGAAATATCGAATTGAACCGAATCGATGGCAGGATAATCGTAACCGAACCTTGAGACTAGTGTAGGTGCACAGCTCTAATCACAAGTAATAATAAATTGCAGAAAACAGTCAAACTACTTGCTCTACAAACAAGTGTGTTTCTGACTATACAAAAAAAATAGAATAATATAATAAATGTCAGTTTGCAACATCAAGCATCATAAAAAGGTTTTTAACCTCTCTAAACCAATGGAAGTAAATGAGACCAGAAGACTGCTCGTACGTCAAGAATAAGGTCAATAAGGATAAGTGTGTTCTTTACATACTTTAGATCTGGACCCATAGAAAGGTGGACATTGCTCTATAAATGTGACTTGTATTCAGCATCACTGATTTATTAATCTTGCTCTTTGTCTTCCCGGCAGGGAGTTTGATGTTAAAGCTCTGTGTGAGGGCACTGCTGGTGATCCTGATGAAGAGGAGTTAAGTCCAGATAGTGCTTGCTCTGCTGAAAGTCCAGAATCTCATAGTGACCAGCCGCATGACCGTGAGTTACAGCACACAGTTTGAAGCATTTGTAGAGTATGAAACAACCTGAAGAGTTAAAAGTTCACCCTAATTTGATTGTATCGTTTTTTTTGCTTATTTATTTTAGAGGACACAGATTCCCTCAGTCAGGTGAGCTCTACGGGAAGCTCAGGAGTTGAAGAGGATGAAGAAGAATCTGGAACTCTGCTTCGCCAGCATTTCGACACTCTGGGTGTGGCCACAAATGGTAGAAGATGTTTGTTTCTAGCTCTATTTCGTTAGTTAGTTTGCTACTTAGATACTTGCATAGTAACTTTGGTTTGTTACTTAGGGTGCTTTCACACCTACACTTTTGTTTCGGAACGCGTCTCGTTTGCCCAGTTAGCGCGGTTCGTTTGGCATATGTGAACAGGGTAATCGCGCTCTGTTCCGCGCCAAAGTAATCACTCTGAGATCGCTTGAATGAGGTGGTCTCTACTCGATTGAAACGAACCCTGGAGCGGTTCGATTGCAGTGAGAAAGCGGTCCGATCCGAGCGCGGTTATATCACAGTGTTTTATGGATATGTAATAGGCTTACGGCTATATGAAGAGAGAATTATGAGTAGGGTGAGATGTTTCGCGAGTCTCCGGATGCCTGCAAACGAGTGATGATCTCCCGTTAATCTCGTGTCTCCCTCCCGGTCCTCAAATAGTCATCGTCGCGCACCCTTCTCACCCCTCCCCACGGCGTCTCTCCTCAGACACGTCGCGCACGCGCTCCCTGTCAATCACCACCAAACCACCACCTCTCCTGACAGCTGAGCGGGACGCTGCAAAATAAACCCTGACACTGACAAATGTAAGGAGAGTTCACTCGCACGTGACTTGTTTTAGCTCTTTTGGTCCGTTTAGAAAGTTTGCAGTGTGAAAGCGAACCGCTCCAAGAGCAAAGAGCAACAATATAACAATTGTAATCTCTGTTTCGGAACAACTGAATCGATTCACAGGTGTGTAAGCACCCTTAGTTAATAATTAATTACTTGCACCCAATCAGAGTATACTCAGAGGTTTTATGTAAGACAATTTTAGAAAGACCAACTCACATTGTTGTTAATATTCCTTTATATTTAAGGCTTGTTAGACTATACAAGGGGTCACCAATCTTGTTCCTGGAGGTCGGTGCCCTGCAGGATTAAGCTCCAATTTGCCTGCATCATTGATTAATCAAAGATTTTGTATTCGAGTCCAAAGAAAATTTAATTTTCTCATACCAGTCCTGTTATGTTTAATCTTTGTTTTTTTTAAAAACAAACCTATATTCGACTGCAAATTAGATTTTTGAAATCTGCTTTAAACAGCAGCTCATGCAGCGCCTGTCAACAGCGCCTGTTCTTTATAAGACACAGCTTTGTGAATTGTTTTACTTCATGTGTTAAGTCTTTAATGTGCTTTTTAACAATTTTATTATTATAAGTGAATTTAGTCCCGCGTTAGATGATAATCTTGTAATTTTTTTTGCTTAATCAATTCCTGATCTTTCGCACATATATATATATATATATATATATATATATATATATATATATATATATATATATATATTTTTTTTTTTTTACCAAAGACTTTTATGTGCTAAAATGTTTGTTAAATCAATTTGATTAAAACAAAAGCATATATACATGATAAAACTAAAGCAGAATCAAGTGTGTAGGGCTTATAGATCAGAAATAAAAGACATTTAAAATTTAATTAGTTAATGCATAAAATCGTTTAATACAGTTTTTCCTTTTTTTGTTTTTTTTACTACATTGGAAACAAAACTGGCACTGACAAAGAATCTAAATTGTAATTGGTGTTGATAAAATACTAATAATACCCAAACCTATCGACCTGTGAAACATTCAGTAACCTGTGTTCTGAAACGATACCTCACAGCAAACACAAACCATCTGAAGTTTTCATTTTACACTTAACAAAAAAACTGAAGAAAAATAAACCGTTTTAGCCTTTTCCCCAAATTGGTTTGAAGATGTCGTGCTGATTGCATCATTTGGTTCAGATCTCTTATTGGATTTGATGATTGTTGTAGCTGCAACTGCAGGAAAGCATCTGAAAGAGATAAATTATTATAAACCACGGATTTTAGTCTAGGATTAGCTTAGGATTTCCCACATGTATCTCAGATGACCAAATTGTGGAACCTCCTTTGGTCAAAAAACAACATATGTTGTGTTCACCTAATCTGTTAGTAACGAATGGCAAAAAAGAACGGGATTTACATATTGGAAACAAACTCTATAAAAGTATTTTTGATGTTGGTCAAATAAACCAACCTGTAAGACTCTGGTATGACATTAAACACAAACCAAATTGTGGCCAAAATCTTAAAATTTGAGGCGAGCGTTAGTCGATTAGTGTTTGACACCCAGCTTTCCTCTGTAACTAATCAGCAGTTGTATGATGCTTAGTGTGGTAAAATTACATTGTAGTGTGTTTTATCCTTAAGGTGATAGTGAAATGCTTATTTCTCTACTAAACCTCTGTGGAAACTCTCTTGCAGAAAAGTTCAACACTGACTTAAGCAGTCTGCAGCCCACGACAGAGAGCAACTTCCTCAATCCTCGTCTCAGCATCTCTACACGCTTCCTCTCCCGCTTTCAGAGCCGTTTCCGGTGAGTCAACATCAGCTTTTTCCCACATCGTGACCCTTTTGATCAAATAATGAAATTGAGAAATGGGTATTTTTAGTTTCTCCTACCCCTTTTTAGGTAATAATGGAATTAGAAGCAGCTGTGTAATTCTTGTTTTAGTGTTTGTTGGTGTAGATGATATAGTGAAATGTTTTCATCTGCTTTTCCAGCAGTGCTGCTTGTCGGCCTGCAGCATGCCTGTCCAGTATACCTGATGAGTCCACTGACAGCCAAACCCTGGACCAAACCATGGTAAGAAGCTTCACTTTCATCGATAATGCTATGTACTCTGAATGACATGTATACAACAGGATCTCAGTTGTTATTAGTAGGCATTATATGAGAGACTTGCTTTGTGTACCAAACAAATAGGTTTAATTGGATTTTTCTTGTTTTGGTTACTAGACTGCTAAAAACATTGCATGTAAATCTGCATATTTTGGTTAAACTCTGCACATAAATAGCTAAAAATGTCTGCAGATTTTGTCTGGTCCAATTTTAGTACCGATTAGGGCCTCAGAATATCACATTGTTAAGCCATTTGAACACACAAAATAATAAAGTCTGCCATTTAATTTTTTGATCTTTGTTCTATTTTTTTTTCTTTGTTAGTTTTGTTTTGAATGTTTTTGAATATATATTTTTATGCAGATGCACTTTCCTAGAAAAATCTTCCCAATCAATGTAAAATTAGGAATTCTTTCCAAACCGAGTCATCCTGGAAAATTTCTATACAGTAGAAGTCAGAATTATTAACCCCCCCTGAATTATTAGCTCCCATTTATTTTTTTCCCCAATTTCTGTTTAATGGAGAGCAGATTTTTTTCAACACATTTCTAAACATAATAGTTTTAATAACTCATTTATAATAACTGATTTATTTTATCTTTGTCATGATGACAGTAAATAATATTTGACTAGATATTTATCTAGACATTTCTATACAGCTTAAAGTGACATTTAAAGGCTTAACTAAGTTAATTAGGTTAACTAGGCAGGTTAGGGTAATTAGGCGAGTTATTGTATAACGATGGTTTGTTCTGTAGACCATTGAAAAATAAATAGCTTTAAGGGGCTAATAATTTTGTCCTGAAAATTGTGTTAAATTTAAAAACTGCTTTTATTCTAGCCAAAATAAAACAAACAAGACTTTCTCCAGAAAACAAAATATTATCAGACATACTGTGAACATGTCCTTGCTCTATTAAATATAATTTGGGAAATATTTAAAAACAGACTATTGCAATGTCAGTTTTTTTCAATCTTGTGTAGCCCTAGTATCGATCACAATTTTGACTGAACATCAGTGTGTCATGTCATATTTTGGACATTTCCCATTTAAAAACAGTTCTGCAGCCATTTTTTTTTTACAACAAAGAAAAAAAAAAAGAACTATTTAATAATAAACAACATATGCCAGAGTGTACAGACAAATGTTTATTAATTGAATAAACAATTATTAAAACAAATTAAAATCGTTCTTTTAAAAAGTTTTTTTTTGTTGTTGCTTTTTTTCCTCTTAATAATGCTGATTACAATTTTACACAATGATTTTCTAAATGGACATGGAAAATGTCCTTCGTGTCCTAATGTCCTTTTTTGTTTTTTGTTTTTTTTCACAAATGTTAAATTTTCTCAAAATAATAATTACTTGTACAAGGAAGGTAAATTGTTACATGCATGTTTGACATGATATATGCATATATCAGTTTTTGTTTTAGTTTTTATTTTATTTTTAAGGACATTTCCCCTGTCTGTTTAGAAAATCATTGTGTAGGATTGTAAATGTAACTTTGTTTACTATTATTTAAACAAAATTTTTTCACAGAGATGGGTTGCGGCTGGAAGGGCATCCGCTGTGTAAAAAATTGCTGGATAAGTTGGCGGTTCATTCCGCTGGTGCGACCCCGGATTAATAAAGGGACTAAGCCGACAAGAAAATAAATGAATGAATAAACAAAAATTTCATAAGTACACCCAGCTTTTTTTTACAATTTATATTTATGAATACACAAGTCAGTTATCCACTTCCATGTTGTTTAAAATAATGTGCGTTGTCATTGTTTTCGACAACGTGCAACTTTTTGACATTTAATGTTAAACAAGATTTCCAGATTTCATAACTCCTTGAAATGTTTTTTTTTTTTTTTACCTTAAAGTGAAAATCCCATCATTCACTCACTCTTCAGTGATTGATTCTAAACCAAACATTTTGCTCACTGACTTCATTAAAAGTCATCTCTGTTCAGTGAGTAAAACTTTTTTTATGTACAGATGCATTTAAGATCTTTATTTGTATAGACATCGATACGTCATGGTTTCTATATTCGCCATGGAAACTTTGCTAGATGTTTGAGAACCATTAAGGTTTGCTGGACCACATCAAGCAAGTACAACTGAGCTGCGTTGACCACACGTGAAATGTTCTGTATTAATTATCTATATACATTTTTCTGTTCTTTTTCTTCTAAGGAAAAGCCCAAGCATCTTTCAAACAGTGGAAGCGTTGAGGAGAAAGAGAAGACTGGTATGTCCGGTTACAGTACCTAGAAAGCATTTTACCCTAGTGTGAGAAATGATCTGATATGTGTCTGATGAACGTTTTTTCCCATTATTCGCTTAAAAGTAAAACTAAGTTTGAAACACTTTTGCAGCGATCTAATATTAGCAAACACCTTGACACCAGTCACATATCTAAATATGTTCTGCACACTTTATTTTCAATGGCACACACAAAAACACACTAAAAATGTAGTGACAACAGAAGTTAAGAGGAGAAGGATATGATCTGTTCCTGCAAATAGTTTTCACAAGCTTTGCAGTTTGGCACTCCAGTCATGCCACAAAACGTATAAATAGAGTTTATAATATATAATAGATTGTTTTAAGGCAAGCAGCTTTGCACTGTTAAATAACTGGAACTAGATAATCTGTTTTTATTACAAAGTAGCATTCCAGTGTCTGTTTACAATCGCATAGATCAGCACATTGATCTGAAGTGTTCAGTGGAATTGAGACTGACATTGTACATTTTAATCTCCTGCTCCGTATAATATATAATAATATATATTCAACCTGCTCTGTATAATAATCTAATAAGCTTCTTATATGACAAGAGTTGCCAGCGCACTGGAAATATGGGGGATTAAACATTAATGGTGCAAAGGTTTTGCGTAACTCTTGCAGTGTGTGGGAAATATCATAGTTCATGTTGCACAAATTAACACTGGATAATTTTTTCTTCTCAGAAATGATGATTAATAAGACAATATTAGATTTTCTGGAGTTTTAAAATGAAATTTTGCTGAAATCTTGTCCTTTAGTTATCAAGAGACGCTCCTCAATGTCTTCTCGGAGAAGCTCAAACCCTTCCTTGTTACGCTGGAAAAATGCATTGGGAGGTCTGTGAGAGAGTGTTGATTTACCCTGTTTCTGGGCTTCTCAAATCACCAAATTACAAACATTTCACAAGGGTGTCTTGGGCTGCATCTGAAATTACACATTTTTTCTAATAGGCAGGAAAAATTACTTTCTTATCCAATTCACAGTTTGGTGTGATCATATTTTGATATGTTTTCGATAAAGCAAATAGAAGAATTATTAAATGCAGTGCTGCAAAAGCAGTCTCAGGTGCTCACAGCGAAGTCATTCTAGAAGTTCTGGGGCCTCATGTACGAAGACTTGCGTGGAAATCATACTAAAACATTGCGTACGCACAACTGTAAATGTGTGTACGCAAAAAAAAAATTCAGATGTATGAAACACTGCGTACGCATATTCTTTTGTACATCCGAATGAACGTGAAACTGAGCACAACATGCACGAGCGCAAAACCCCTCCCTGGCTCCTCCCCCGTATGAATATGCTAATGACTCTACTTTGGCAAAACCCAACGAAAAAGCAATGGCAAAATTAAGCAAGAAGAGAAACTTTGAACAGAGTGTGAATTGAAGGTGCTGCTTTCAGAGGTAGACCGGAGGAAAATGGTATTATTTGCAAGTTTGTCCTCCGGAATTATCAACAAAAGAAAAAAAAATAGAGTGGGGAGAGTTTAGCTGATACGGTTAACACAGTTGGGTCTGAACATCGCACTGTAGAGTTAAATGAGAAATAGTGTGATTTACAGGTGTAAAACGTTGTAGCACCTTTAACAGACTCAGTGGCGCAGCTCGTAAAACTCATGTCATCATGTTTTAACACGTTCGAGCATGAACTCGGTTCGAATACAGCGTCTGATAAAGTCATTCTTTTTTCGTCCCTGCTACATATCAGATTTTGTATTTTGTATTTATCATGAGAAAGACAAGTAGGAATCATTAAGTCTGTGCATCATATTTTATTTGCACATTTATTGAATGGAAATATTTCTGATTCACGAATGCAAATTCATCTTCAGATAGTGTCTTTATAGCAATGTGTGTGCAGTAGATAGCTCAGATTACATTGGGAAAACCAGCGATCACTGCAAATTGCGCTTTAATGTTTGGCTGGTCAACTGTATGGTATGGAAACCTTATATACCTGCTAGATGAACCCGTCTCATACAGCTGCCATTGCACGGCTCAAAGACGCTTTGTAGAGAGGAATTTAACACAACTGCCTCTAGGAGTCGCCAATGGAAATAAAACAGACACGCACAAAAAATGTGCGTACGCCAGCCATGAAGCTGGCATGGAGCTGCGCACATTCCCATGTTCAGTTCATCGTTAGTAAATCCAAACGTCAGCGATTCTGAGCGTGAAACCTGGCGTACGCAAAGTTTTTGTGCGCACGCAGCGTTGATACATGAGGCCCCTGGTGTTTTCAGCTAAGCAAAAAAAGGTTATTGTGTGTGAGCCCTTACTAAGCATGTTGTATAATCCCATTAAAGGTGACATCGGATGCCTGTTTTACACAAACGTATATCATTCTATAGGGTTTTAATGAATAGTCAAAAACACCTCAGGTCACAGAAAGCTGTTTCTCTTAATATCTCGTTAAATGCTAATGAGATGCAGCTCCTGTGGTACCAATCCATTCTTGAGGATCTAAACCGGGGATGCCCAAACCTGGAGGGCCGATGTCCTACATAGTTTAGCTCCAACCATCTTTACCACACCTGCCTGGACGTTTCTAATATACCTGGAAAGAGCTTAATTAGCTGGTTCAGGTGCCTAATTGGGGTTGGAACTAAACTCTGTAGGACACCGGCCCTTCAGGACTGAGTTTGGGGACCTCCGAGCTAAACCAACACAGCACACACTCATCACTTCACCATAGCTTAGATTGCACCGGGCCATCACCGGGTTTACAAAAAGGGGTGGAAGGAGGGCAGAGTCCATAGTTTGCTTGGAGTTGGGCACGTGTGAAGAACTATCTGGTTATGTATAAACTGGCACGGAATTCACACTGGACAATTATGGCACATACATACACTGACAGTTAAAAAAACAAGCTGCATGTTTTTTTCAACTTGTCTGAGCTAGCAGATCGCAGAAACTTAAGTAAACACAAAAAATAAATAAAGTTTAAAAAATAAATAAATAAAAAAACCATCCAATGTTTAATGTTACAGGACATTGAACCTATCCTGCGTATACCTCACTGGAGCAGTTTGGAAAGGGCAGACTTCACATTGTCTGTGTTCACTGTATGTCGTTTGGGTTGGCTTGAGGGCAATGCCACTGAGAATGTTTTGCACATTTAAGGCTCTTTGTTTTACAATTGTTTTTCCAAATAACCACAGCAAATTGTTCAGTTTGTAATGCATACCAAAGTGAAAACCTTATACCTCATGTTTCAATATAATTATGTATTATAACCTCTTATTCTAAATACAGCATACTTATTTTAATGCAGAGTAATTACTTGTTCAAATGATGTGCCTATTTAATCTGTGATTGTTGGATGCAGCCTTGGTGCTTTCAGGCTCAATTTGCTCTGTTTAATTTGTACACCTCTTGGTTTTTGTTTTCCTGATTGTGAATATGGGGTTTGAACTACCTGCTTCTAAACTAATTAAGGGCGTACTCACACTATGTACTTGAACTGGGCCAAAGCACGCTTGTCCTCCATCTATTCTCCCTCGGTGGCCTGCACTCACATTACAATCGGGCCTGGGCACCCTTGCGTCATCGATGATGCTCTGTTCAGTAAGCGCTCTCGCTCAGCACAATGGACATTTCTTCAGTTATTTCGCTTTAGACCTTAGGGATGCGGTGACACGCAGACAAATATTTCGCAGAACAGATCAGCCCCTTTTGACGCTCATAAATAATCAAAGTCTTTGTGCTGCAGGAATTAGGAGGTTGGCTGTTGTGCTGTGAGGGGTTGTGTCTTTAAGCTACGACAGTTTGCGTTTATTGAACAGTAAGAAAGATGAATAAATCCGTTTCAGACAGTCCCTTAAAAGTCACGTCTCTCTTTCACTTTCGGACTCATGCATGTTTTGCTCTCACGCACAAACATACAGCGCCAAAGCCCAAGTGAACCGCTCTCAGGCACACCTCCTCCAACCGGGCCAGGGCCGGCCAAGTGAACAATGCCTAAGCCCAATTCAGAGCATTCACACTTCTCAAACGATCCAGGAAACGGGCCTGGGCACGGTTCGGGTAGCTTAGTGTGAGTAGGCCCTTAGGTATTGGTATAGGTAAACTGTTAATGTATATTAAACTTTCTTTTTTCTTCAGAAATCACAAACAAAAATCAGTCCACGACTCAAAGTACCACTAGTGCTCCAGGCGTTCTCAGCAACAAGTCTACCAGCAACTCATGTGACGCATCTGTTACGCGCTCCCGCCAAAGCTACATGGGTCCCACCGCAAGCTCCCGTGCTAAAATAAACCAAAGCAACTCCGTGGAGAGTCTCAACCTCTGTATATCGGAGGAAACGCCACTAAACGCCTTACCAAATGTCGAGCACAGCAAAGAGAACATGATCCCACCATCCTCTCCTGTGGTTTCGTCTGCACCGCTTCATCAGTCTCCTGTCCTGGGAAACCACAGTGCCCGGGCATCTCTTCGACTGGACCTCATTGGCCACAATCGTGCCAGTTTGTCACCTGTGTCACTGAAGAGCCGCCGAGGGAAGGTCGAACATCACGATTCTCCACGGCGCCAGGCTTTAGTGACGCCCACCGAGATGAGGTCACTGGGGAAAGAGAGTCGCAAGCAAATCTCAAACATTGAGCAGAGTTTGGCCCCTTCAGACAGGCTCTCTACAGGGGCCGGGATGTTTAGCAGGAGCCCCATGGTCAGGCAAACCAGTGATACTGTGTTTGAAGACCTGCAGTCAGTGAGATCTGACCAGACGTCTGTGAGTTCTCCAATGACCAACGCAGTATCTCAGGACAATCAAGATTCTGCAGATAACAACAGCATTCCAGAGGAAACGGGTAGGTTAAATACACACAAATGCCTCACTTTGTTTGAAACAGAGTTTGTCTTGGGTGTACAGAGTAAATTACATAAGGGATACTGTACATTCAGGTGAATTTTATTGCAGATTAAAGCCCAACAGGCTTATTAGCAGCCTGACACAAAGTGGCTGTTGTATGACTTAAAGGGGAAATGAAGCACTCAGTCAAGTTTACATTATTTTGTAAATGGATTTCCACTTTAATGTAAAATATTACAAACTCGATTAATGTAAGCATTTACCAGAAGACAGCATGTTTTACTATAAATTTTCGACATAGAGCGCAGCCATTTTTCAATATCGCTGTGTCTGACATCACAGGGTTGGTTCCGTTCCCTCAGCTGAACAGATACAGTGGAAGTAAAGCACTGAACACGGAGACTGAACAGCCTAATTTAACCCAATGCGTGGAGTTGTGGACGTGGAGCTGCTGCAAATACAAGCATCAGATGTGTGTCTAACATAAAAACATATATTTATTCTAGTTTTCTTTTTTCCCCTTTTAATTACCAATCATTTGATGCGCTTTGATTTGGTCTCTGTATTACGCTTTTTGACTGGGTTTCAAACATGGTTTCAACCAGGTCTGGTGCCGACATAATGGTGGTGGGTACTTTCACTTTTCACTTCTACAGCTGCTCACTTTTCGTGTTTAAACCAACATAGATGTGACGTAGTAAAGCGTGAAGTCATGTATGACTTTAATCGTTGCAATAGTCTGAATATAAATCCCCTCGTTAGGCAGTGCTGAAGCAGTGTGAGAGAGTGGACCACAGCGCATCGAACGAAAGGTATTAACAAAAGACAAATACACAAGTTAAGACTCCAGGTCTGCGATGCTCGTCCACAACTTTATGCATTACGTTAAATTAGGCTGTCCAGTCTCTGTGTTCAGTCCGTCACTACCATGGTTGAATCCCACACATGTGGTCAGGCAGTGTTATACATCGTTAATTAAAAGGGAGAAAAAGAAAAAATATACATTTTAATATTAGACACACATCTGATGCTTGATTTGCACCAGCTCCACGCCCACAACTTTATACATTGGTTTAAATTAGGCTTTGCAGACTTAATTTATTTATTTCATAGCCATGTAATCTTCTTTCCCCCCTCTTCTCTTCATTGAGCTCATCTATATCCTAGAATGCTTTTACAATGTCAAGGAAGTGTACATGGGTGCAGTTCACATGGTTAAAAATTCTGATTAAAACAAATTCAAATGCTTACCAGTGTCAGCTGTCGGTACTGATGTGCATTTGCAAGCCTCCAGAGTCACTAATGAGGATGTTGATTTTTGTCTTTAGGTCTTTCTGCGGAGGCGTTGAGTGTTCAGATGTGTAAGGAGATGGTGAATGAACTCTGGCACACCATCCATAAAGCAACTGACTTGTACAGCAAGGTGATTTACCTACATCTGTACCTCTGAATGCAGAAACTGCATTCTTTCAAGTTTCGCAGTCATAGAACAAAAAAAACAAACAAACATTTAAATACCATGTGTGTGTGTGCGTGTGTGTTTGTGTGTGTGTGTGTGTGTATATATATGTATATATATATGTGTGTATATATATATATGTGTATATATATATATATGTGTATATATATATATGTATATGTGTGTGTGTGTATATATATATATATATATATATATATATATACATACACACACACACACACACACACACACACACACACACACACACACACACACATATATATATATATATATATATATATATATATATATATATATATACACACCACACACACACACATACATACATACATACTTAATGTATACACAAACTGATTAATCTTTAAACAGCACTAGCTCATCTAAAATACTAATGTTTTCCAACAATCTTCAATCTTTTGTGTTTAACAAAATAAAGAAACTGCTGAATTGGGACCCACTCTTTTTGACAAACCATGTGTAGAAAACGCACTTTCATCTCTCTGATCCTTTAACCGACACGTGCACCAGTTTTGCATATTTGCATCAGACACTTTCTTACAATCACTCCATATCTCTAAAAAAGATTTGCATTTATGAAGTGTACCTCACACAGGTGAGTGGGCTTGACAAACCACCTGTAGAAACACTTTTCTCTCTCTAAAAATTGCCATAGCACTTAGTTCCGAGCACAAACAGTTCCTTTGTATAATTATCACTCCTTGTGTGTTCTGCCTTGAACTCTTCTTGTTAAATCGCTAAAAAACCTCCTCATTTGTGACTAAATATAAACGTTTGGAAACACTCAAGTATAAATAAATGGTGAGAAAATATTCATTATGGGGTGGATTATCCCTTTAATATCAAATGTAAATCACATCTAGGGTACAAGAAATGCAGCAAAAATAAGGATTTTATATATGCAAGGAAGTTTGTTTATATAGCACATTTCATACACAGCGGCAATTCAAAAGTGCTTTACATAAACAGAAATAAAAGTATAAGAATAATAAAAATGATTAAAAACAGATTAAATTGTGTTAAAACGGGTTATAAAAGAATGAAAAAGAAAATAAAGACAATAGTGCGATCTGTCGGACGTAGCACAGGGATCATTCAGTAAAGGCACAGCTAAACAGATGAGTTTTCAGTCTTGATTTGAACGTGCCCAATGTTGGAGCACATCTATTCATATCTGGAAGCTGATTCCAGCAGTAGGGGGCGCTGTTAGTACCTGAAAGCCAATTCACCCTGCTTTAACTGAACTTATGGAATTTCTAGTTTATTTAAACCTAAAGATCTGAGTGATCTGTTGGATTGGGTTTTGAGGTCCTAGGCCATTTAGTGATTTATCGACAAGTAATAATACTTTAAAATCTATTCTGAATGCAACTGCGAGCCAGTGTAAAGACCTGAGGACCGGTGTGATGTGCTCTGACTTCCTGGTTCTGGTCAGAATCCTTGCCGCAGCTTTCTCAATGACCTGCAACTGACTCTTTTTGGGAAGGCCAGTGAGGAGGCGGTTACAGTAATCCACCCTGCTGCTGATAAAAGCATGAACAAGTTTCTCTAAATCCTCACTGGAAACAAAGCATCTAATTGTTTTTGAGATGATAGTATTTAGTTACTGCTTTGTCATGACTATTGAAACTCCAGAGTCACACCAAGATTCTTGACCTTATTTTTTTTCAATCCTTGTTCTTCTCTCCACAGCTGTGCTCCATCCCTGAGTTATCAGAGCAGCAGGAGCAGATGAAGGGCGTTTTGCAGGAGGTGTTTGTGGGGGTACAGAGCGAGTTAAATTCAATCTGCCCACAAAAGACACAACCATCGACTAAGAGCACCCGTCCCATATCAGAGGACTCTCCAGGTCGTCAGTTAAGGGATGACCGAGCCGTGGCCCTTCTGGAGAAATACTCTGAAATGCTCTTACTGCGAATGACTGAGAAAGGAGCGCAGGCTACGCTGGAGTAACAGCTTTCTTCCTGTCATCTAATTGGCCAAAACAACCCCCAAATCCCCTAAAAAGCACCTTTAAACCTTAACGTGTTACATTTTGGTTTTACATTTTTAAATAAACGTATATGCGTATTTGAAACTTGTTTGCAATGCTGAGTCCTCCACCTTTTTATATTTGTTTTTAACACTACATTTCAGTACATGAGTGTGTATTAGGTCTCGCACACATTTCTTCTTTAAAAAAACTTCAATCAAGGACTTTTTTTCTTCTCCAAAATGTTTATAGAGTCATGTACAGTTTTGAAACAGTGTTACTTTTGAATGCGAACAATATTATGTAGCGAGTTTTCTCTTGAGGTTCAGGTTGTTTGATGCGTTTGTAGCTCTTCACCATTTCTACAGGGTGTTCTGTTGTCTTATTTCAGGTGTTTTCTTTCTGAATAGTGCTGTGTCGATATTTTCCGTAGCATCAGGCTCTGACTCACAGTTTGCTTGCACTGGTGTGCTGATTATGCTTTGTTAATGTGCAATCTATTGTTGTTGTTTTTCACTAAACATCATGTATAGTTATTTTTTTTAGGAAAGCCTTGTAAATATGTTTTAATCAGCCATTTGTGTTTTATTATTAAATGTTGAAATAATGATTGACTTTTTGTGTTTTTTTTTTTAGGTTATTTGTGATTTTAGTAATGTATACATCAATGTTTTAAAAGGTAGCATGTTTATTTAATCTCACCTTGTTGGAATTTGAAGAAGTACTACACAACAGCCTCCAAAATTAGCGTGAGATTTTGTAGCTTTTGTGTTTTGTTGTCTTCCAGAACTGTCATGGAAGCGTCAAACTACAGTCGTGCGCATGAATCGTCATCGAGTGACTTGTGGCTTTTCTGCGGGGGAAGTGTTAAATAATGAAGCGGTAGTGTTTGTACAGCTGTAGCTTTTCACTGGGTGTTGCTAGCAAGGAAACGAGAACGGTTTATGTTTGTTTTTACGACAGAGGGCGCTGTGCGGCTCAGAAATTCTTGTCTGTAATAAGCAGCCGCCTTATATTGACCTAGTGTAAGTCGTGCTAATCGATGGATTATAGTGAGCATCTAAAATTTAAAGTTGTATTTTATATATTTATTACCTCATAGTAAATTTACAAATTCCAGAACTAGTCTAAAATGATTTTAATTATCTGCATCTTCCATACACCACTATTGTGATTGAGTAATTGATGAGAATAGGTGTATGTGTAAAGTGTATGTGTGTAAATGAGTGTATGGATGTTTCCCAGTGATGGGTTGCAGCTGGAAGGGCATCCGCTGCATAAAACATGCTGAATAAGTTGGCGGTTCATTCCGCTGCGGCGACTCCAGATTAATAAAGATATTAAGCTGAAAAGAAAATTAATGAATTAAATTATTAATAAAAAAATCAGAAAGCTGAAAAAACCATACATTGGTCTGTAAATCTATAACCAAATTCCGAAGTAAGAAACCATGTAAGACCATTTTGATATTTAAGAACAAGTAAAATGCATTATGTTGGGTTATTTATTCATTCATTTTCTTGTCAGCTTAAACCCTTTGTTAATCTGGGGTCGCCACAGCAGAATGAACTGCCAACTTATCCAGCAAGTTTTTACGCAGCGGATGCCCTTCCAGCCGCAACCCATCTCTGGGAAACATTAACATACACATTCACACACTCACTCTACAGACAATTTAGCCTACCCTATTCACATGTACCGCATGTCTTTGGACTGTGGGGGAAACCCAGGCGAACGCAGGGAGAACATGCAAACTCCACACAGAAACACCAACTCGAACCTAACCTTCATGCTGTGAGGCGACAGCACCTACTGCACCACTGCTTCGCCCACATGTTGAGTTATTTATTCATTTAATTTAATTAAAAACAGAAGTCTATTCAGGCATGCACTTTGTGCCTTTATAAAATATGAATTTTAATAAGTTGTAAGGCATCCGCTCCGTAAAAAACATGCTGGATAAGTTGCCGGTTCATTCTGCTGTGGCGACCCCAGATTAATAAAGCGACTGAGCTGAAAAGAAAGTGAATAAGTTGTAGACCAGGGATGTCAAACTCAATTCCTGGAGGGCAGCAGCCCTGCACAGTTTAGTTCCAACCCTAATTAGACACACCTGATCAAACTAATTGAGTCCTTCAGGCTTGTTTGAAACCTACAGGTAAGTGTGTTGGAGCAGGGTTGGAACTAAACTGTGCAGGGCTGCGGCCCTCCAGGAATTGAGTTTGACATCCCTGTTGTAGACCTATTTAAATCGTTTATTCATGTTTTACTCAACAAAACAATTGGCTATAATAAGAATGTTGCTAGATTAAAAGCTATATTATAATAGAAGAATTATAATTTAGTACTTGACCACTGGTGACGCCATGCTGTAGTGTAGTTCACCTCACAGCAAGAAGGTCGCTGGTTCAAGCCTCGGCTGGGTCAGTTGGCATTTCTGTGTGGAGTTTGCATGTTCTTCCCGTGTTCTCGTGGGTTTTGTCTGGGTGCTCCGGTTTCCCCCAGGTGAATTCGGTAAGCTAAAATAGACCGTAGTGTATGAGTGTGGGTTGTGAATGAGTGTGTATGGATGTTTCCCATCGATGGGTTAAGTCCGGAAGGGCATCCGCTGCATATGCTGGATAAGTTGGCGGTTCATTCCACTGTGGTGACCCCAGATTAATAAAGGGAATAAGCCGAAAAGAAAATGAATTAATAAATGTGGGTCGCAAAGCCACGCCCATTTCATTTTAACGGATTAATGCTATTGGCTGCTCGACTCATTCTGAAAATACAGTTGGGTTAATCCGGAATTTATTAATTTACTTTAATCAAAAACAAAAATCGATTAAAACTATACAAGCATGCACTTTGTGTCTTTATGAAAGATTGAATTTAATAAGTCATATTTAAATTGTTTATTTTTACTCAAAACATTAGGCTATAATAAGATGCATATATTTATTATTATTCTATAATACAATAAGATACATATGCATTATTATTATTATAACCGAAGAATTATTAGTACTTGACCATACACTGTTAAATAGTGACCAGTCAAAGAATAAATAAGCACGCATAGACACGCCCATGTCTGTTTGACGGATTAATCCTATTGGCTGCTCTGCTGGTTGTGTTTGTCCGCTTGAGACGCGCTCAGAGATTTGTGTCATGATTACTCATCACGATGATGATGACAGCAGGCGGGTCTCCATGTGTTTACAGCCGCGCAACAACTCACTTTCTGCCGCTTTCCTGTGCGCTTTCCACAATGGAAAACAGACACACGGGTTCAGGATGACGGCCATGAACTATGACTAGGAAACTGTACCGTTGTTACTGCGCTTTTTATTATTGTTTATGATCATGGCGGCGGCGATAAACTCTGAACCTAAACGCCAGAACGAAACATGGAAGCGTCACATTATCAGACAGCTGAAAAACCGCAACAGGACACAGACGAGCCTCTTCCAGGACATTATACAGTCATGTAAGCTTTACCAACTGTTAATAGCGTTTCTCTTGTTTCAGCTTTGCAGTATTATGAACAATACAGGAGAAGGAAATTGTTGTTTTGATGCAGAAGTTGACGTTGGCACAATGGGTTATTCATTTACTGTAATATTACCTAGTGTTTTCAGTATGATTAAGCATTTAAAAGGATAGTTTACTTGAAAATTCTGTCATTATTTTCTCACTCTTCACGTTTTCTTTCTTCTGTTGAACAGACAACAAGATAGTTTAAAGAATGTGGGACACCTGTAACCATTTCATTGTGTTTGCTTTTCTTACTATGGAAGTCAATGGTTACAGGTTTCCAACGTTCTTCAATATATATATATATATATATATATATATATATATATATATATATATATATATATATATATATATATATATATAATTTTTTTTTCCATGTTAAGTGGAATAAAGAAACCCATAAAGGTTAGGACCACTTGAGGGTGAATAAACTGAGTATCATTTTTCGGTGAACTATCCTTCCCTTTAAGTATTGGATGCAATTGTTTATTATAATAAATCATTTGTTATTGAGTGTGAAATATGCTTGGTAAAATACAGTACATTTAGTGATAATGTTGTACTATTTATTACATGTTGTTATTACACACATTTTAGAAACTGTTTTTAAAAAGATATTTAAATTCTATTGATAATTCTATAATGTGTAGGATGTGTGTTTATTTTATTTATTTATTAATAAAGCATGTAATTAAAGGAACAGTTCACCCAAAACAAAAAATTCAGTCATCATTAGGCCCACACGGAATCTGCGCGCAGAATTCCGCTGATTTTCCGCAGATTTCTGCAGATTTTTAGCCCATTATTAATTCTGTTTATTTACTTGAGTAAATGTGTAAATCAGAATTTATTCAGTTTTTATTCAGTAATTTATTACTTTTTATTTCATATATTAAGGTTTTAGTTATGATACTCCGCTGGATACTCCCAAAATATTTCCGCAGAAATCCGCAGATTTTTACCAAAATTCTCTGCAGAAATAGCAAAAAACGTCCGCAGATTCCGTCTGGCCCTGGTCATCATTTACTCAACTTTCACTTGTCACAAATAGGTATGGAATGATGACCGTTTTCAAGGTATACCGCAGTCTGGAAAAGACAAGGTTTTAAAACCGCCAAAATGTTCTGTTTATATCGATTCTACAATATATGTAAAAATGTTTTCTTTTTTCTTTCTTTTTTTTTAAGGACAACAGTATTTCCAGCAGAAAATATTTCCAAAATGCCATTTTAAATTGTAAAGAAATCTGTGTTTTTGAAACTAATGAAGAGAGCAGAAGTTAACGATTCATTTGAATGATTAAGCCTGACATGTTTACTGTTATAAAACATTTAAAATGTTTCTTAAAACAAAATATATTGTGTTCAAAGAGGGAAAAAATTTTTTAGTTTTTTACCCAGACGTTTAAAAAGATCTTATTTTAAAGCATTAATTACAATACAGTGAAATTTCGATATTTTTATCAAAGTTTATCATACTGTCAGAATCTTAGACCGGCCCATGCCTAGTCAAAAACTTGTCTGAGTTTCTCTTTTTCTGTTGAACACAACAGAAGATATTTTGAAGAATGTTAAAAACCTGTAACCATTGACTCCCATTGTGTTTGCTTTTCCTACTATGAAAGTCAATGGTTACAGGTTTCCAACCTTCTTCTAAATATCTTCTTTTATTTCCAACAGAATAAAGAAACTCATAAAGGTTTGGAACCACTTGAGGGTAAATAACTAGTGAGTAAATTTTCATTTTAGATGAACTCTCCCTAAGTATTTATAAATGAAACATGATTATGCTCAACGTATTAACACTGATCTGACAAAATACGTCAAACTGAAGTTCTAATTTGCTTTCGTACTGATTCATAATTCTCAAAATTTAGAGTCCTTGTTGTTTCCGTGAATCTTCACACTTAGGTGCAAATGGACAATCTCATTAACAAACACACTTGGAGTGTGTGCATGTAAACATCTTTTAAAGCAAATATTACTATCGGGCTTGTTTGGAAGTGGATTTTTTTTTTGTCTTGTGTTTGTAGATCACAGTCTGCTGGAGAAGTCCAAGCAAAGAGCCCTCATAACCAAAGGCATTCTGGGATCAGGGTCAAGGTAACCCTTACTCGGAGTCATAATATATGCTTTAATGTTACAGTGTAAAAAGGGAAGCCGTGCAGAGGGGTTTCTACCTGATCGGACCCTAACCTAAACCTAAAATCAATTTAGAAGATGCATAAAAAAATGGGCCACACTTTATTTTAATATACCAATCATGCTATAACAAACCATTAACTGGCTTTTAGCTATATGAACTACTAATTAGTTGCTTATTAATATTTAGTAAGGTGTTATTTGGGTTTAGGTTTGGCTGTTGGCTTGGATTAGAGGAATAAAATAAGATTAATTCTATAATTTAATTAATTCTATAATTAAAATAAGAGCTAATAAACAGTTAATATCGTAATAATAAGCAGGTTATAAGCCAGTACATGTTGCAAATTGTTACTTAAACTAAAGTGTGACCAAAAAATTAAATGTTCAGGCTGTCATGGAAGTTCCGTTGCATATTGCAGATATAAAAATAAAAGGTGTTTTAGTTGCAGGATACTATTTTGACTGTATTTTACACTATTTTGTACAGTAAAAAATGCTATTTTTACCATAAAGCAGCTTTATTATGTTTTTCCAGAAATTCTCAAGCTTCAAACTAATGAAGAAAAAAAAATAATTAAAAGCAAACATTATTTTGCCTTGATTTTGTATATGCCAAATCAGATTGTCTTTAATCTTTTAATGTAAAAGTGGCGAGACTTTCTTTTTCAGAAGCACATTTTAAACTACAGGAAATAAAACTGAACTCTTGACTGATCATTTGTAATAAATGATTGATTAGTCTGATATATAGAAAGAGATTTAATAACTTTTTTATATATATACAGTTGAAGTCATAATTATTAGCCCCCCTGTTTATATAATTCCCCCAGTTTCTGTTTAACGGAGAGAAGATTTCTAAACATAATAGTTTTAATAGCACTTTTCTAATAACTGATTTATTTTATCTTTGCCATGATGACAGTAAATAATATACAGCTTAAAGTGACATTTAAAGGCTTAACAAGTGTAATTAGGTTAACTAGGCAGGTTAGGATAATTAGGCAAGTTATTGTATAACAATGGTTTGTTCTGTAGACTCTCGAAAAGTATTGAATAATTTTGACCTTAAAATGTTTTTTAAAAAATTAAACACTGCTTTTATTCTAGCTGAAATAAAACAAATAAGACTTTCTCCAAAAGAAAAAAATATTATCAGACACACTGTGAAAATTCCCTTGTTCTGTTAAACATCATTTGGGAAATATTTAAAAAGAAAACAAAATCAAAGGGGGGACTAATAATTCTGACTTCAATTGTATGTGATTAGTTTTTCCCCTTTAAACACCCATCCCAAGAAACCCTTAATCCACTGCCTATTATAAATATCAAAAGTAAAAATAATAAAAATATTAACACACAGTAGCAGAATTACAAAAAGTTGAGTAAAGTCTTAAAATGAAGTAAACAATTAGACAATAATAGATACTACATTAAGGAAGTGATGCGTTATCTTACAGTGGCTGTCTAGCATAAGGATCAGGACAGAAAAAAATGACATACAAATGATCCCTTATGTGCTGTTATGGATGTTTTCATCCACTCTGGTATGATTTTTTTGCCATAACTGTTTTTGTGTTTCTGCTAGCGGAAAGATTTTTGGTTACAAATGCTTTGAAAAAAAAAAAAAAAAACTTTCAACGATACACTCCGGGCAAATTTACTATCCTCTGTTATATTAGGGATGAAATTATCCTCTACATTAAACTGCTGTAAAAATGCATCAGACTAATTTTTTTTTTTTTTTTTTGCATAAACATGTTAATTAACCTCAGTCCTGATCAAAACTGCTAAAACTTCAATAAAAATGCATGTTTATATGGTGTCATGGCTTTGCAATCAAAAAATGTGGTTAAAATATAAGTCGATGGGGCAAAAACAGCCATAGACAGTAAATTAGGAAGACGAATTAAAAATCTTATTTTGCATCAAAGGCAGCGTTGTTACTAATTTTTCAAATGTACATTATAACCACATTTTTTTGATTGCAAAGCCATGACACCATATAAACATGCATTTTTGATTGAAAATTTAGTAGTTTTGATGAGGTTGATTACCAGATTTATGCAAAAAAATAAAAAAATATTAGTCTGATGCATTTTTACAGCAGTTTATTTACAGCAGTTTAATTTAGAGGATAATTTCATCCCTAACACAACAGAGGGTAGTAAATTTGCCCGGAGTTTATCTTTGTTGTTTTTTTTGTCACAATAATTTTTTTTACCTTCGATCCTCTTAAATTTGTACAAACTAATACGCTAACTTAATTCCTTCATGCTGTCCCAACACAAATCGATTGTGTGGATTCCAGCATGTTTAAACGCTTATATAAACATTAAATAAAAAGTGTTCAGCCAATTTTCCAGACAAACTAAAAGAAATACAATTATCGTCTCACAGCAAGAAGGTCACTGGTTCTAGCACCAGCTGGGTCAGTTGGCATTTTTGTGTGGAGTTTGCATGTTCTCCGTCGGCGTGGGTTTCCTCCGGGTACTTCGGTCTACCCCACAAGTCCAAAGACATTTGGTATAGGTAAAAATTGGGAATGTTAAAATTGACTGTTGTGTGTGTGTGTGTGTGTATGTGTACGTGTTTTTGTGACATATCAGGACACAAATCTGTATAATGACACAGGTATTACAAAAAGGAGGTGAATTATGAGGACATTGGCGACGTCCTCATTTCTCAAAATGCTAATAAATCCTACAGAATGAGTTTAATCAGAGAGTAAAGCTGCACACAGTCTCCTGTGATGGTTGGGTTTAGAGGTGGGGTGGGGTGAGGGCAATATAATATACAGTTTGGACACTATAAAATGAATGGAAACCTATGTAATTTTACAGATTACAGAAACAAACAGAAACAAACATGTGTGTATGTGTGTGTGTGTGTGTGTGTGTGTGTGTGAGAATGAGTGTGTATGGGTGTTTTCCAGTGATGGGTTGCAGCTGGAAGGGCATCCGCTGCGTAAAACATATGCTGGACAAGTTGGCAGTTCATTCCGCTGTGGCGACCACAGATTAATAAAGGGATTAATAGATGAATTAGGCAGGTTAGAGTAATTAGGCAAGTCATAGTATAATGATGGTTTTCTCTGTAGACAATCTAAAAATATATTGCTTAAGGGGGCTAATAATATTGACCTTAAAATGGCTTAAAACAATTAAAAACTGCTTTTATTTTAGTCCAAATAAAAAAGATTGTCAAAAATACTGTGAAAAATTCTTTGCTCTGCTAAACATCATTTGGGAAATATATAGTAAGGGGGGTTAATAATATTGGCCTTAAAATTACAATCAAAAATGACGTTTGGTTTTTGTTCAGATTATTTTGAGATGAAGCAGCACAATTCTTAAGGTTTTAGTTTTTTGCTTCAACAAAATAGTTTTTTCTTCAATCCTCTTAAATTTGTACAAACTAATACGTTACCTTAATTCCTTCATGTTGTCCCAACACAAATCGATTGTGTGGAACCCAGCATTTTTAAATGTTTATATAAACATAAAATAAAAATGTTCTGCTAATATTCAAGCCGAACTAAAAGAAATACAAATCTCCTTGAGAAAAATGGGGAAATATTATAAAATGTTAGCTATCACTTTATATATATATAAAACTAAATTTCTCTGTATGATTTTGTACATACTCTTGATTTCAAACTGCTTTTTTTTTGTCATGTGCAGGACCTCACCAGTTCCCTCATCGGAAGATTCGCTGGCCTCCCTAAAGACCACCACCGGTGAGGTAGGAAACAATGTGGGAAAAACAGAATCAGCCTCTCCTATAAGAAAAGCAGCTGGACCGATTGGATTACTATTGAACCTTTATATAACAAACTCAATTTTATGGTGCAAGTTGTGACCTGCTTCGGCAGCCAGGTTTACAAGTAGGCCTGCTTTTATCTCGCCTTGTTAGCAGCCAGTCAAAACCAACAAGCAAAACCTAAACCTGAAAGACCTGAAAAGAGCATGAGATAAAGTCTGACATGATTTTCTTTGCACATTATTTGGGCAAAAAATAAATTGTCTGCTGTTCACTAGGAATATGATCGAGTAAAACCGGTTTTCACTCCTAAAACTGTGTAGAAGCTGTCTTAAGATCAAAGTATGTGATCAAACCTGCTCTTTATCGACATGAAAGTCCTCTGACCCCTATATACTGCAGCTATTCTAGCACATTAAATCTTTCATGCTCATATTATAAGCTGCTGCAGAGTCTAAATTTTGCCATCAAAGCTGTTTTCATTCAAATGGTATTTTTTCTTTTGGCTAAGACGGTTGTTTTTGTTCCTTCAGCTTGCATACCAAGTGGTGGAACTGCAGCAGAGAGTCCAGATGAAGGAAGTGACGCTGGATGAACAGCATAACAAGTAAACCTTCTCTCATGGCATACTGTAAAAGTCAAACAGAAAACCTCAAACACCATCACCCTTTTAAAGGGGCCATATTATGATTATTTAATGCTTTTTAATCTTATTTCTTGGCTAATACATTTAAATAATTTTTCTCATACCGAGGTACTACATTTGAAGGTACTGCATTTGACCATTTATAGGGCACCTAGGTTACTCTTTTTTCAGATTTAATATAAGTGTTTTGCGTCTCCAGAATGTGTATGTAATGCTTCAGCTCAAAACACCCATCAGATTTTTCATTATATCTTTTACTAGATCCTAGTTTTAATAGAAACCTGATTTAATGTCCACAAACCGGGATTGAAGCGTCTTCCTTTATAATTGTTCTGACACACGGCTGTGCTAATGAAGTAAAACTGAAGTAAATCGCTGTACTTCATAACACACATACACTGTTTTGAAACATTTTAAACATGTGAAACTCACTCTTGATCACATTTGATGACGATTGATGATCCTAGCGACCTGAACAGACCTTTTATTCCCGGTTGCTTTGCGCACATCTGGGGCCTCATGTACGAAGACTTGCGTGGAAATCTTACTAAAACATTGCGTACGCACAAAGCTGTAAATGTGCGTACACAGAAAAAATTTCAGATGTATGAAACACTGCGTACGCCGAATCTCACGCATATTCTTTTGTACATCTGAATGAACGTGAAACTGAGCGCAACATGCACGAGCACAAAACCCCTCCCTGCCTCCTCCCCCGTATGAATATGCTAATGACTATGCTAATGGCAAAACCCAACGAAAAAGCAACGGCAAAATCAAGCAAAAAGAGAAACTTTGAACAGAATGTGAATTGGAGGTGCTGCTTTCGGAGGCAGACCGGAGAAAAGCGGTGTTATTTGCAAGTTTGTTCTCCGGAATTAACAACAAAAGAGAAAAATAGAGTGGGAGAGTTTAGCTGATACGGTTAACACAGTTGGGTCTGAACATCGCACTGAGTGCATTTAAGAAAGAAATAGTGTGGTTTATATCTATAAAATGTTGCACTACCCTTAGAAGTCTCAGTGGCGCAGCTCATACGACGCATGTGATCATGAACTGACTCGTTCGAGCTTAAACTCGGTTCGAATCCAGCGTCTGATTAATTATTTCTTCTTTTTTTTCCCGCTACATATCAGATTTTGCCCACTATTTATCACGAGAAAGACAAGTAGGAATCATCAATAAGTTTGTGCATCATATTTTATTTGCACATTTATTGAATGGAAATGTTTCTGATTCACGCATGCAAATTCATCTTCAGATAGTGTCTTTATAGCAATGTGCGTGCGGTAGATTGCTCAGATTACATTGGGAAAACAGGCGACCGCTGCAAATTGTGCTTTAATGTTTAGCTGGTCAACTGTATGGTATGGAAATCTTACATACCTGCTAGATGAACCCGTCTCATACAGCTGCCATTGCAAGGATCAGACACTTTGTAGAGAAGAATTTAACACAACTGCCTCTAGGAGTCGCCAATGGAAATAAAACAGACACGCACAAAAAATGTGCGTACGCCTGCCAGAAAGCTGCCGTGAAGGTGCGCACATTCCCACGTTCAGTTCATTGTTAGTAAATCCAAACGTGAGCGATTCTGAGCGTGAAACCTTGCGTACGCAATGTTTTTGTGCGTACGCAGCGTTGATACATGAGGCCCCAGGTCTTGTTGACATGATTATACACATGACTATCGGGACATGATAATGCAACAGCTGTCAATCAATTAGGTGGGCAGGGGGACCGCACTCCTACGTCAAGTTGCGGTCAGTCTAAAAACCGCTCCAATTGGTCCACCGTTTTTATGTTGTTAAATTGAAAAAAAAGGACTGGGTGTGTTTATTTCACCCCAATATGATGGTCTATACACTATATATACACATATGTCCGTCCAAACAGCTTAAAAAGTAGATTTTTCACTATAGGTGGCCTTTAAAAAAATGATTGGTGAGGACAGGACCCTCTAAAATAAGAATGAAAATCATGCTGTGTGTTTTAAATAACGTTGTTTTATATTTTAAATAACTGTGTAAGTAGTGGCGCTAACACAAATGGTGCATCTGTGCAAAATGTGTTTTAAAGGGTTAATTCACCAAAAAAGAAGTCTTATTGTTCCAATGCCCTGAGACCTTGGTTCATCTTCAAAACACAAATGAAGATGTTTTAGATGAAACCCGAGTGCTCCCTCATCCTCCATAGACAGCAATGGAACCAAAAACAGACCAGCTGGAATCACATAAAGCTCCAAGTATACTTTTGTGCACAAAGAACATTACAACAACTTTGTTTAACTTTGTATACTCTACAGACCAGGGTGCAGGTTTATTACTCCCCAAAACTGCCCAAATTTACGTCTCTGGTTCTATATAATATTAATATAGATATGAAGGAAATTTTGAATGTGCCACATCTGCAGTGCTATCATTATCACATGACCTACTGCCGTTTATATTTTCTCTCACTGCCTCATGGCTTAGTAAAGCGTTCATTACTATTGTTGCCTACAGTTTTTTTCAGATACTATGAATGTAGATCAGGGCTCGAAATAAACTTTTTTGCTTGGTAGCACCGGTGCTCCTAACTTTAAAAATTTAGGCGCATCAGCCAAAATTTAGTCGCACCCACCAATTATGAGCACCGTTACTACAAGTTTTATACAAACATATTGATTGTATTTGAAATCAACACTAATCAAACTAACAAGCAAAAAAAATCATACATAACGTTATATGCAAGCGTGAGGAAAATATGTCTCAACAAAATCCCGTTATCACAAGAAAATAGATTTTTATAACAGAACTGAGTGACCAAAGCTTACACGGAGCGCTCACCGGCCCTGCACGCACTGCTTGAATTAACGTGTTAACGGTATAACTAGTAAGCTGTGTCATTATTTGTAATTGTAGATGCCATGGTTTCTAAAACAAAATCTGTCAAGTGTTATGTTATCTTCATTTTCATCTTCAGCGCTTTACAATTTTTCCCGGTAGCAGCTCTCTCTGTCATCCGAAGCCAGAAGGCACTGAGTGATTGACAGCTGAAATTAACCAATCATTCGCGTTCAGTGCTAGAGCAGTGGTGAGCCAATAAGAAGAGCGCAAAAGCGGGGCAAGCATTACGGACTTGGATTTGTTTACTGCAGCAAGTTGACATGACAACTGTTTTAAACCATTCCTGAGCACTGCATCTCGCGTTTCAAGTGCAGACAAAAAGCTTAGAGATGCATTCTGCGTGAATGTCTCCCGAATCCGCGCATGTGCTGAACATTTTGCAGTAAAAACTGGTCGCACACTACAATTTTAAACACTGGCAGAAATGCTCCCAAATATATTTCAAGGTCGCATAGATAAAATTTCGGGCGCATATGCGACCAAAATGGTCGCAATTTCGAGCCCTGTAGATATAGTATATATAGTATAGTAACTAGTGAACTGAGTGATTTGTGAGCTGCTTGTGTTAAAAAATGTAACGTTTCATGCCATAATCAGTTTGAGCTCAGTAAATCTATAACGTCATTATTATATTTGTCAGTGAAATCACTCTATTAGCCGTTCATTGAGGATAGACCAAAGATGGTGTCCAGTATGTCATTGTGGCCATTATGCCAATTTCTAATGTGGTAATAAAGAAAAGTCATATAATAATGGAAAAACTATAAATATTCTGGCAGTTTTGGTTTTCCGTCAGAGAGATTTGTTCTATTTGGCGTGGTCTCTATGCTTTGACATTTTGAAGATTATATCACACACTAATAGAAGGGTACAATTTTAAAGGCGAATAAATGTGCCCTTTAGACCTGGGATTCTCAACTGGTGGGCCACAGCCCACTAGTGAGCCTCATCGATCCTGCAGGTGGGCTGCGAGATTAAAAATAACTCTCAATCTAAAATTTATTATACTATATTTTTTTGTTTGCATTATAATATATTAAAATGATAGAAGTAATGCACTTTCTCCTGTTCTCTGATTGATTACTTCAAACTCAGCGCAAAAGCAGCCTCTGCAACTGGTACACGTCAGTCTGTTCATTCACAAACTATGCGTGAAGTGAAAGTGAATGTCTCTCTTTGTGTATTTTTGTGTAAACTATTTAATATAACCGCATAGTTGTCCAAATTAATGTTCTGTGAGTGTTTTATAATGGATGCACGCCCATACAGGAGGATCTAGCGAGGCTCAATGGTTTTTCTGCCATAGAGTGTATAATAAACTTGCATATGAGCTGTGGCGGAACTGTTCACTGTTCCTGTCAGCAATCTCCAAATAATATCCAGGTGCAAACTCAACCGCCATCAGATCGACATGTTTTAATAGCTTTAGGGTGTTTTACTGTATTTTACATTTGTGAATAGTAGATATTTAATAGTAGATATTCAGTCAGTCCAGTTTAAAGCAGAAGCTGGTCTTTTGCAATATCCCCGTTGACCTGCGGTTCTCTTTAAATCTGTGTATGTTTTAAAAAAAATAAATACATCAAATTGTATATAATATAGTTTTCGCTTTATATATAATTAAATTTAAATATATTTTTTTATAAAATGCTGGTATTGAAAAGTATTAGAAGACACAACAAACGTATAATATATGTTTGTTATAATAATATAACAAAATTTTATATTATATAATATATTATATTATTTGTTAATAAATAAAGTTTTAAATGAGCATTTCATACAAACATTTTAAACAAAATGTCAGACAGGTGGCCTTCAAAAATTGAACGGAGAAAGAAGTGGACCCCGCTGTGAAAAAGTTTGAGAACCCCTGCTTTAGACATTCATTCATTCTTTTTTCTTCTGCTTAGTCCCTTTATTCCACAGCGGAGTGAACCGCTAACTTATCCAGCATATGTTTTCCACAGCGGATGCTCTTCCAGCTGCAACCCAACACTGGGAAACACCCATACACTGACATTCACACATACACATTATGGCCAATTTAGTTTATTCAATTCACCTATAGCGCATGTGTTTGGACTGTAGGGAAAACCCACGCGAACACTGCATGAACATGCAAACTCCACACAAAAATGCGAACTGACCCAGTTGAGACTCGAACTAGTAATCTTCTTGCTGTGAGGCGACAGTGGTAACCACTAAGCCACCATGTCACCTCACTGTAAAAGTTTAGAAAGTTAAGTAAATAGTACCATACTATACTATACTATACTATACTATACTATACTATACTATACTATACTATACTATACTATAGTAAATAAAAAAATTCTAATGTTTAAACTACAACCCCAACAAGCAATTATATGTTTATAGGTTAAAATGGGTTACATGTTTTCATTTGTAGTTTTCTTTTGTGTGTGTTTACTTGGGTTTCTGTTGTGTCTGCCAGCTCAGTCAAGTTATAAGGAAAATATACAACCTGTTTTTTTAAACTGTCTGACTGTATTTATGCACCACAATTGACCTGTTTCAAGTTTGTGCCTGTTTAGATTTAACCAGCTAGTTAGGATTAGGGTTTGGGTTTGGGTTACACTTGCCCACTTCTGAGAAAACACCGCCTTGCTCCCGCCCCTTATTGTAAACAGATAGCAAAGACACTGACAATGCTGCATTTTGTTTCTCTGCTGTGTGTTTGGATGTACCTTTAAAGGCTCATGTGTGTCTTCACAAAGAATCACAGCTTCAGAAGAGACAACAGCGAAATTAATTAGTTTTATATATGAAGGGAATATCCCAGACGGAGTAAGGGGAACTCCGGACTGCTTTACAAAGCATCAAAATTGCATTTAAAAGATGTATCTTTTTGTCTTAAATGCAAGTATTTCTTTTTAAATATATAACTTGTGTTTGTTTCATTTGATTTAAAGTTATGCCAGTTTCAGATTACTCATGTTTAGAAATCCAGCACCAGATGTTTGTTCGAATGCATTTTACATTGATAAGGGCGGCTGTAATGTCAAGCAATTATAAATTATATGTACTGTAACAATTGTAACAGAATTATAAGCCCCCCCCCATTTATTTTTCCCCCAATTTCTGTTTAACAGAGAGAAGATTTATTCAACACATTTCTAAAAATAATAGTTTTAATAACTCATCTCTAATAACTGATTTATTATTTTATCTTTGCCATGATGACAGTAAATAATCTTTGACTAGATATTTTTCAAGACACTTCTATACAGCTTAAAGTGACATTTAAAGAGTTAACTTGGTTAATTAGGCAGGTTAGGGTAATTAGGCAAGTCATTGTATAACAATGGTTTGTTCTGTAGACTATCAAAAATATTTAGCTTAAAGGGGCTAATAATTTTGGCCTTAAAATGTTTAAAAAATAAAAATAAAAAACTGCTTTTATTCTAGCCGAAATAAAACAAATAAGATTTTCTCCAGAAGAAAAAATATTATCAGACATACTGTGAAAATGTCCTTGCTCTGTTTAACATTATTTAGGAAATATTTAAAAAAGAAAAAAATCAAAGGGGGGCTAATAATTCTGACTTCAACTGTATTTGACAAATGACTTCAGGTGACATTTACCAAAAAAAAAAAATGCTTTTCTTACTTAGCTTAGCTTTAGCAAAATCAGTTCTTCTAGTAATCTGGAAGATGCTTAATTTGTACAGGTAAGTTTGATTAAGGTTGCACCTAAACTGTGGATCTCAATGGCCTGCAAAAGACAAACATAAATAAATAAATTTAATTGCAGGAGCCATTTCCTAAAATTGAGTTTTAATAACCAGACTTTTATCTTAGTCTAGATCTTCACAATGGAATCCATAATGTGGCTAATCCAATTCTTGGATGTCAGAAATGTTGTAAAAGTGTAAACCTTTTATTGCAGATCTGGCACAATTTATATTTAGCTGTTTTTGTTCTTTTCTTCTCAATCTAGGTTGTTTGAGGTTCAAAACCATCTTAGTATTATGACATTAGAACACAGCGAGCTTCAGGAACGCGTGACGGAGGTGCAGACTGGAAACCGACTCCTCAAACAAAAATATGACTCTCTCCTGGAGCAGCACCAGAATATGGAGAAAACATACCGGCAGGAGAAACTCCACAGCGCAGACATCCTGGAGAACATGATCCGACCAAAGCAGCAGGCTGCTGCCCGCATGAACCACCGCAATGAGAAGAGAGTGAGGTCAGATGGGACACAAGTGTGTCAAAGATGAAAAAGGCTTATTCTGATTCCCATACGTTAGAAATTTATTTTATAAACAAAAATGTTAAATAAAAATATACCCAAGAGCCCCAATTATGACATCAAGTGTAACAAAGTAAACCTCACTGTTGTCAATACTAAAGATATTAAGTTTATATATATATACCGAATATTTTCCGTAATTGACAGATTTTTTACAGCAGTGACGGAAGAAGCCTGGTTTATACTTCTGCGTCAAGTGACCGCCGTAACCCACGGCGCATGCAACGCGCGTAGCTGTGCATTTATACTTCTGTGCACTGTCTCTGTTGGTCTGCATTAACACTTCCGAAACGCTAGTTGGCAGTGAGGTGTAAATGTTCCTCTGTGTCGAGTTTCTTCGCTGCTGTTTTGCTTTTCCTGAACACTTCCGGGATGTACAAGTGGCTCAAACTCGCTCATTTTGAGGCAGGAACCGGCGTACGTGCAACAACTTTAACTATGAGGTAAACACAAAACAAAACTTTCCATCCGGAGCTCCTTCACGGGACTCCACACTTGTAAACAAACGCTCCATCAGGCTCGCACCATTCACGCGGCTCTTGGTCCTGCCCAGACTCGTCAGTACTACCAAGCCGACCAATCACAGAGCTTGCGCTACGCGTCGTTTTGACGCGTAGTTAAATTTTTTGAGAGGTGCACGTCAGCGACGGGCGAAGGGCTATGCATCAGTGCTGTAGCATACGCCGGCGTTTGACGCAGAAGTATAAATCAGCCTAAAATCAGAAGGTGATCCGTCATTTTTTGTTGCTAACTGTAATTCCCACTCCTGTCCAGCTGATGGCTATTGTCCTTGTTTTGTCTCCTCTTGTCACCGCTGTGTAGTTGCAAAAATGTCACAGCAGCTGAGTGTGAGAAGTTTCTTCATTTAGCCAAATAGTTGTGATTAATAATAAAGGTGAAAAAGAGGACGTGATGCAGCGGACGATGAAGAACAAACAGACAAAAATCCTCAGTCGCCGACAGCTGTTACGGGCCAACCTAGTGGCAGCTAGGAGGTCAGGTGCTTTGGAGTGCTTTGTGAGCTGAGCACTACCGAACGCAGGTGCAGAAGGAATGCGTGCTGTAGTATTTTCTCCCGGTGAAACGAGTGCTAGCAGGATCGGAAAATCCCACATTAAGAGAATCCAGCAAATGTCTGATCACTTCCTTACGAGAAGTAACTACAAAACGCTGGCTGAAGTGGTTCTAGTAATTCTGGTCTCCAGTGTGGCAGCAGAATGTGGGTTCAACCGCCAGAACAAAATTAAAACTGTCAGGAGAAGTCGACTTTCCGAGGCAAAGACACGTACAGCAATTATTGACAATTCCCTCTGCATCAGTCTCCCTTGATGCGCTTGATTACGCACAGGCAAGCACCCAGTTTAGGTTGACGCAGGAGGAAGATATGAGTTAAGGCAAATAGGAGTTTTGGTTAGTTCGTCAAATAAATAAATAATTTAGCCTATATGCTCGTAGTGCAAGTTCATTAGTAAAATATAAATGAAAAAAAGTGATTAGAAAATATTCAAATGAAATGACGGTCAATAACAGGTTAAGACTGAAGTTTTACAACCCTCTCCGTCAAAATGATGGACAATGAGAAAGTCTAACCCGACCTCTTATTTATTTATATATATATATATATATATATATATATATATATATATATATATATATATATATATATATATATATATATATATATATATATATATATACATACTGTAAATATAACTTAAAATACCAAGTTAAATCAAAACTTAAAATGTGTTTAACCTACTCATTAGACAGCATAATAATTTTTAATTCATATTTTCAGTTCTCTGAACCTTGTTTAAATGATCCACCATGTCTCTGTTTAAAATGAGCTTGCTGTTACAAAATAGAAGGTTACTTTTACTTAAGCAATATAAGATTAAGGTTTATGTAAAACAAATTATATAATGCAAGTAAAGAATATAAAAGCTAAAAAATTTGAAGTTTAGTCTATTAGCCATTTTAAGTTATCTGTACTTAAACATTTAAGTTAATTCAATGAAGAGACCACATTTGGTCAAATCATTTAATTGAGTTGTTGATTTCCCATTAATCAAATGAACTGTGGGAATCACTTTCCCCAAATCATTTGAGTAGTCTTAACTTATTAGGGTTTACAGTGTGGTGAATCGTTTTAACAAATTAAAATGTTAAGTTCAGAGAACCTAAAATAATAATTAAAGATTTTGTGCAGTTCAATGAGTAAGTTAAACTCACTTGTTTAAGTTTTGATGCCAAAGCGGATTTTAAGTAATGTCAAATTATATTATTCATTCATTCATTTTCCTTTTGGCCTTTATTAATCTGGGGTCGCCACAGCAGAATAAACCGCCAACTTATCTAGCATATGTTTTCCAGCTGCAACCCATCTCTGGGAAACATCCATATACACTCATTCACACTCATACACTACGGACAATTTAGCCTAACCAATTCACTTGTACCGCATGTCTTTGGACTGTGGGGGAAACCGGAGGACCCAGAGAAAACCCACACGAACACAGGGAGAACATGCAAACTCCACACAGAGTCACAAGCTTATAATACTTCAACAGTATGTAAAATGTATATGAAATATATGAAATGTGTGATTATTACAATGCTATTATTAAGCGAACTAAGACTTGGAATAACAAGACATCAGTTTAATAATTTCCCTTTAGTAGTTTGAGCGGCATGCAGAACAGCAAGGCCGTGCCAAACAGCAGATTGTTTGTTTAAATTCAGTGATATAGAAGATGGTTAACGTAGTTAATGAATTAGTGTTTTGTTAAACGAAAACCGTATTTCAAAGTTCACTTTTTTCTGCCAGAGCCCGCGGTATTGAATTGGCAAATAATTTGTAGGGCTTTTCCCCTTGTCTCAAATGATGGCCATTCCCTAAACAACACATCTCTACCATTTCATTTCTTAGAGCCAGAGAGGCCAGCATTCACAAAGAGCTTCAGGAGGCTGCCAATAAGAATGTCAATATTAATGAGTAAGTAACAACTTCATAAACTGATACGTCAGCTTAAATGTGACTTCCAATCGAATCCTGTTTAACTCAATATTTTCTGTGAAGCTCAAATGGAGAAATGTCATGTAATTGTTTGAGTTTAACAAAAGAAAGCATAAAGTGATGTAGAGTTTTAAAATATCAGACGACTGGATCATGTCATTGATTGTTCGTGTGTGCTTTTGTTCATCTTTGTTTCATGAATGGTTTTGCTTTTACCTGTCAGAGAGTCTGGAAATGTTTCACCTCCCAACCCGTCATCTCCTCAATGTGAAACTGCAGAGAGGTTGGAAAGATCCCACGGGCCGCTGTTCAGGTGACAGTAGTGGCATTTATGCACCATTACTTCAGTGATTCATTTTATTTATTTCTTTATTTTTTTAAGTTCAGTTTGATCTATCGTTCACTTTGACCGCCTGGTATTAACATGCATTTCACAGTGATCAAATCGCTAGTGTTTCCATCTGGTATTAATGATAACTGATCATTATCAGGGTAATTTGGTTTGTACTGAAGATAGTATATCTTTAGTTTCTAAAGCTTCTTAAGAGTTTCTTAATAAATCTTTTGAAGTTTTACTTTGAGTGTTGATTTTAAGAATCAAAAGGTGAGGATAAAAATGAGAAATGGAAATAAATTGTCATCATTAAAATATATGTACTCTGTAGGAGCAATTATTTTGCTTTACTTAAAAAGTGAATAAACCCATTGCTTTTATAGCGATTGGTTGACTGTATTTTAAGTGAGTAAACCTTTTGATTTTGAACACGACATTTTTTTAAAAAGCTCTTATTACAAGTCTTCTAGAGTTTAAAAAGTTGACCGTTTTCAAGGTATACCACTGTTTGCAAAATTATTAGCTCCTTGAAGCTATTTTTTTACTGTCTACATAACAAACCATCATTATTCAATAACTTGCCTAATTTCCCTAACCTGCCTAGTTGACCTAATTAACCTAGTTAAGCCTTTAAATGTCACTTTAAACTGTATAGAAGTGTCTTGAAAAATATCTAGTCAAATATTATTTACTGTCATCATGACAAAGATAAAATAAATCAGTTATTAGAGATGAGTTATAATTATTATTTATGTTTTATATATATATATAATAATTATAACTCATCTCTAATAACTGATTTATTTTATATATATATTTATACAACAGTTCTGTCTGGTTCTTGAATCTGATTGGCTGATAGCCGTGATATATTTAAGAAATATCAGCAACCGTAAAGCCTCTTTACCCTTTCTGTATTACTTCGCCCACAAACAACCAGCAAAAAGCAGACACTACAGATCTAAAGTTTAAAAGATGCTTGCTCAGCTGTTTAACTGTCAGCTTATGATTTCAATCCAAGGCGGAAGAAAGTAGTTCCTCATACAAAAAGGTTTTTGAGACTCTCCATGTTTGATTTTGTTTTTATATACACAATTATGCCGTCAAACTGTTGTATAAACGCAATATCACACTCGTAGCAGTGCGATATGGCTGTATATCGGCACTGGTGGGGGCACTAAGGCACGCCTCCCACCAGTGCCGATATACAGCCATATCGCACTGCTACGAGTGTGATATTGCTCATATATATATATATATATATATATATATATATATATGGAATAAATATAGCAGAGTAAAACATTTCGATGCAACCATATAAATGTAATTAATGCAATATATCAACATATATGCAGTTGGTAGAAAAAAAAAATGTCAGAGGTAAACATTTTGATGCAACCATATAGATGTAATTTCGCGGACAGAAAACAAAACAACCAACCCAACCCACAGCAAGTGGTTAAAAGTAGGCCAGTTCTGTAGGAAAACCACGAACTTGGCAACCCAGATTTACAGAAAGACTGTAGACTTTAATACATTCTGGGTTGTTTTCACTTTACATTGGGTAGCAGTTTACCCAGTTAGGTCTAATAACCTGTTGGGTTAAAATTTTAACCAAATAATTTGGTTTTACTGTGTCAATCAGTGGCTGCACGGTGGCGCAGTGGTTAGCACGTTCGCCCTACAGCACAGGTGTCAAACTCAGTTCCAAAAGGGCCGCAGCTCTGCACAGTTTAGTTCCAACCCTAATTAAACACACCTGATCAAACTAATTGAGTCCTTCAGGCTTGTTTGAAACCTACAGGTAAGTGTGTTGGAGCAGGGTTGGAACTAAACTGTGCAGGGCTTCGGCCCTGCAGGAATTGAGTTTGACACCCCTGCCCTACAGCAAGAAGGTCGCTAGTTTGAGCCTCAGCTGAGTTATATGTTGTATGAGTTGGCGGTTCATTCCGCTGTGGTGACCCCAGATTAATAAAGGAAATGAAAAGAAAATGAATGTATGTATTACTCAGCGTTGGGTTTAAAAAACCCTAATACGTTATAGTGAATGTTGTTGGCTCTGACATGTGTGTAACAACCATATGCTGTATTAGGCCTACTGTTGTTACATTATAGGAAAAATACGAAGCATTCATTTCAATCTGTATTCTAATTAAAGTTTTTAAACAAAATTCCTGACTTTAATGACTATCAGTCTATATGGTACAAAGTGAGCTGTTGCTTTTAAAGCGATTAGCTGACTTGAAAAGTGAATAAATGACTACTATGTGCATAATTATGAAAATGAAGTGAACTTAAAGGAACAGTTCACCAAAAAATGAAAGATATGTCTTTAATCAGGGCAGCACAGTGAGTAGCACAATCGCCTCACAGCAAGAAGGTCGTTGGTTCAAACCTTAGCTAAATCAGTTGGCATTTCTATGTGGAGTTTGCATGTTCTCCCTGTGTTGGCGTGGGTTTGCTCTGGTTTTCCCCACAAGTCAAGTCAAAAACATGCGGTATAGGTGAATTGGGTAAGCTAAATTGTCTGTAGTGTATGTGTGTAAATGAGAGTGTATGGATGTTTCTCAGTGATGGGTTGCAGCTGGAAGGGCATCCTCTGCATAAAACTTGCTGGATAAGTTGGTGGTTCATTCCGCTGTGGCGACCCCAGATTAATAAAGGGACTAAGCCGAAAAGAAAATGAATGAATGAATGAATGAATGAATGAATGAATGAATGTCTTTAATGACCCACCCTTTAGTTGTTTTAAGTCTGTATGTGTTTCCTTCCTCTGTTAAACACAAAAACAGATGTGTAACCATTGACGTCCATATTATCTGTTTTTCCTGTTTGTACAAAATGTTTTAGGGCACATACACGTGATTAGAATGATGTAAAAGCATTCTTATACCAGATGTAAACAGGTGGTAAAATGCTGAACTAGTAGTTGTTTTACTCTTTCAGGTCTGCTTCAGCTACGTCTCCCCGCATCATCAGCTCCATCAGGGGTCTTTTTGAGTAAGTTTCTTGCTGAAAGCTCTTTATGCACAGCACAAGTGGTTTTTGTTTAAACCTTTTTTTAAGCTCATGCCCCATTTGGTGTTGGGAACATTATTTATTTATTTTGGCTTGAGACAAGTGTCTCTCTCTGACACAGAAGGAAAATGACACTGGAGACACTTTTTAAAATCAAGGTTATAAATAAATAATCTTGTTTTCTTTCTACCCCTTGGCAGATTTTTTTAGCTTGTTTTAAAGAAAGACAAGAAAACAAGACAGTATTTTTCCTTGTTTACAAAATGTTGCTTGATTTAAAAAATGTTTGATATTTGGACTAGAAACAAGACTAAAACTCTAAGTAAAAAAGCTTGTTTTGATGGACAAAATAATATGCATTCCCACAACAAAATTATTAAATTGCTAAGAAACCTTCATAAAAATGAATGCTCTGAAAGCAATTCTAAACATGGAGGAGCTTTTTGTGACACACTTCATGCATCAATCACTTAAAAACCTTACAAGATGAGACCTCCGCTGTTTCTTCCGTTCCCTTTAGACCAGGGGTGTCCAAACTCAGTCCTGGAGGTTTGGTGTCCTGCATAGTTTAGCTCCAACTTGCTTCAATCTACCTTTAAGTTTCTAGTATATCTAGAGTTTGATTAGCTAGTTCAGATGTGTTTGATTAGGGTTGAAGCTAAACTCTGCTTGACACCGGCCCTCCATGACAGAGTTTGGGCACCCCCCTACTGAAATAAACTGCTTAAACCAGCCTAGGCTAGTTGGCTGGTTTTAGTTGGTCCACCAGGCTGGTTTTAGAGGGGTTTTGGCCATTTCCAGGCTGGTTTCCAGCAATTTCCAGCCTGGTCTTAGCTGGTCAGGTTGGGAGATGACCAGCTAAAACCAGCCTTACCAGCCTAGCCAGGCTGGGAGCCCAGCCAAAACCAGCTATGTCCAGCTTAAACCAGTGTGTGTGTGTGTGTGTGTGTTTGTGTGTAACTGCTCATAAGTATTATTGATTGTTCTTCTGTTGTTTGTGTGTCTAGGAGGAAGATTCGAGGTAAATCAGTTTGCCGGTCAGAAGAGGATCTCTATATACCATTAGGAGTCTGTCTGGCTGCCAGAGTTCCAACCAAAGCGATTTCTTCACTGGTGCGTACCGTTATCTACAACAAAATGTGCTTCTCATATCAAATGTCATATACCGCCCCCTTTCCAGTTGTACACATTTTTGCTCTGCAAAGCTCAGCTTCACGTGAAGATTACTAAAAGCATATACTGTAATGTAACGTTTACACACGGGATGCGCATCATTCATTGATGTACATTCGAATCATTCATGTTTTTAAAAGCATGAAAGAGAATGCATGCTGTTGTGTGTGTGTGTGTGTGTGTGTGTGTGTGCGCTCATAGTCAGAGACGAGCAAAGCTATACATCTAATCATCTTAATTTGAGCGCTTTAATGGTCAAATACATGCAAATTTGAGTCAAACACTGTGTTTAGTGATTATTCATATTAATCATCATTTGTGTAATGAACAAACGAGTTGAGGATCAAAAGACATCTCAAAGAGAAACCATTAATCAAAGCCGCAGTGCTCTTAAAGTGACAGTGTGCAATATTCCTGCTGTCGACTGTTGTTATGATTAATAATCAAACAACAAAAGGAGAAAATCCCTCACTGCTCTTGACTGAAGGACTTTTGTAGCTATAATTAAAGTTTTTTTACAGTAAAGATGCTTGAAGCATAGTTTGTTTTATATTTGTATTCTATTGTTTTTTATTCTATTGTGTTTATTTCCCTTTCCTTATTTACATTGAGGAAAATAGCTGAATATTTACAGTTGAAGTTAGTGGCCCTTTATATTTTCCCCAAAGATTTTTTTTCAACCCATTTTTAGAACATAATAGATTTAATAATTTGAAAAATGTTGACTTAAACTGAAAATCGTTTTGAATAATCGTGAAAACAATTATGACCAAAATAATCACGAGTTTCATAAGTTTTCCCATAATCGAACAGCCCCAGTGTTTCCTATTTTTCTTTGCTTTGCTTTTGACCATATTTGGAAGGGTTGTAAACAGGGCTTGACATTACATTTTTTGATCACCAGCCACAGTGGCTAGTAGTTTTCCAACATTACTAGCCACTGAATTTTCACTAGCCACAATTTTGTTGTTGGGAAAATATTTTTTATATGCATAAATATGACTTTGACATGCTAAAACTACTTGATTTAGATTTAGTGTTTTGTCCGTATGCCTCCTCATTCATTTCACATTTTGTGTGTCGTGTTTGAGCAAATGTGTCCTGGTTTCATAGTGTTGTATTACAAATAGTTTTTATTTCACATGAATTTTCAGAACTCAAAATTAAAGATTTACCAAATTTATCTCTGACCACACCAAACAATAATAATTTCTCTGCCACAAATTTTAAATGTGTCAAAATAAGCTAAATATAGCTGTATAGTATACTTTTCATTTAACAAATGATTTCTTAAAAAATAAAAAACAAAAAAACTAATAAAAACAATTGACTTTTTGTCATGTATTAAAAATATGCACAGTCATCTGTCCTCGCTAATGGTCTCTCAGTTCACCAGTTAACACATAAATGGAGAGTTCATCACATATTAAAGCAATGTTGTTGTAAAAAAATTATAATTAAATCATATAAACAAAAATAACCGTAAGCAAAAGATAGCAGGTGAAAAACATAGCTATTGTGTGATAATGAAAGGATGATCACATGGTTAAGGCCAATTTAAGAGTTCACACTTAGCTGATGATTGATAGGAGAGAGCCCTGAGCTTATAAGATCCTCGAGCCCTGGGCTCCCTCCCGTTGCATGGCGAGAGGGGAGTTTGAGCTCAGGTAGATCTCGATCACTCCCCCTCCTGCTTATTGTAGCTAAGTGTCATATATAGATGCTGAAAGGTGTACTCAGAGTTTGGCTAAAATATTTTGGATTAATTGTTTAGGGTGCTTGTTTCTGAACTCTGGGAGGAAACCAGAGGAAACCCACGTGATCACGGGGGGAACGAGCAAAACTCCGCACAGAAATGTCGCCTGGTTTGGAAGGGAATTAAACCAGGTGCATTCTTGCTGTGAGGCAACAACGCTAATCACCGGCCACCGTGTCGCCCGTTTGAAAAGAGGGAAAGACGGGTTGGGTGGGAGGGAGGGGAGGGGGTGGGGGTGTGGGGTTTCTTCAAGATGAAGATATTGAGATGAGAAAAGTCTGGTTATTTATAATGAGTTAAGGATCGTCTGATAGGACAATTAGTCATTAGCTAAAGTTGGAACAGCTGTGAGCAATCATAAGCATGTGATCCTCTCAAAATTTGTTTATAAATAAACTTCACTTAAAAATCTGTCCAAAAGACACATTTGGAGCTCTTGAAAGCAGCAAGACTGTGGGTGCTTTAGCTTAACTTTTTGTCATCATTTTATGAAAGAGAACCGGTCACAGTTGCGTTTCAGGCGCGGTTGCTATAAGCAAGAAAACAGGAGTGCACACGTGCTTTAAATAGTCGCCCGCATCGCATCAGCTGTTTGCGCGACTGATCATCCTTTCATTCGGTATTCACCTGCTTTCTATTGCTCGTGTGAAGGCAATTATTTTTGTTAGTCGTGTTGTTTCTCGATTTTAAGATCACATTTGCACGCATATTGAGTCATCCTTATATTCGAACCCTGCTTTTGAGAATACCACAATTTAAAATTTATTCTCAACCAGCCAAAGTGGCTAGTGGGAGCGGCTGTCTAACCCGCCAAAGCTAAAATCTAACCGCATTTGGCGGGTGTTAATGTGAAGGCCTGGTTGTAAATATTAATGAGCTCTGTTCTGATGCTGCAGCAGCTCATGTCAGTGCTTGACGCTCACACACACACATGCACGCATGCACGCACTCACACACAAACACATGCAAAATAATAATATTTAAGTTATCATTATTATTTTTTGAAGAAATTGGGTAGATGTCTTGTTAAATGACAATCGTTTTTGTGGTGGATAAATTAATGTAGATATCTTTGCCATGATGACAGTATATAATATTTGACTAGATATTTTTCAAGACACTAGTATTCAGCTTAAAGTGACATTTAAAAGCTTAATTAGGTTAATTAGGTAAGTCATTGTCAATTTCAATTCATTCTCAAGTCAGTTTTCTTGCTCTGTTATATTTGATAAAGAAACAAAAACCTCAGGAGGCAGAATCCTTTTGACTTCAACTGTATATATAGTATATATCACATTCCCTATCGTGATGGCAGAAGGTGTGTTGATAGTTAAAGGGTCACGAAACACCAAAACACATTTTTTGAGCTGTTGACAGTCGTATATGTGTCCCACACTGCTAAAAACACTATTAGGACACATATATTTCACTAAAAAGTGTAAATTGGTTGTTTTTGTGTTATTTCAAGCAAATTCGTACTTCCTGTTTGAAACTAATTTTTGAAGCTGCGTCACGGCCATGACATAATAGCGTGTATTCCAGCGTGCAGACTGGACGTATGTGCCAGAGTTATTACGTCTTACAGTCTGATGCATTAATGCATGAGTAAGGCTTGGGTCAAACCAATGAGCGCGCTCTATTGTGCAACTTCATTAATTCATTACTGTCACAGTGTTTAGACGACAGACACGCCACGTTGTGTTGGCAAAACAAGCGTGAAGTGTTGCTTTTATAGTTTGCTGCCGTTAAGTTTTGTTTTCATTTTCTCTCTGTGAGAGCTCAGCTGGAGTCACGTGTGGATTAATAGTGTACGCGACGCTCGACAACAATAACTTACGTGTCTAAGGAGGAACATTGTTACCTGAGAGCTGTTCTCATCTGCAAACGCTGAGATCCTGATTTGCTTTAGTCTCCTCTTAATAAAAACGCGGCTCTAGTTGCTGTTGATTGTCCTGTCTCTACAGATTTGGTAAGTGAGCGACCAGTGCTCTTTGTTTACTCAGTTTGTTCGTATCGAACTAAGTTAACTATTGCACCGAGTGTAAACATGTTAGCACAACAACCAAACTTTTACCTCATGTAGGATTTTCGCCACATTTAGTGACCGGAATAACACACGCGGCTTTCTGACGCTACCTGCCGTGTGCATCTAAGTTTCCGGGAAATGCTGAGTTTTTTTTTCTCTCATTCGCCGTGCGGTATCAAACATTGCATGAAAAATACACGCTTAGAGCAGTTTCTCGAATCAAATATTTTGTTTGTCGCGAGGGGCATGAATGAATTCCCTGAATGAAAGAGCCAAACTGCAGTTAAAGTCCACCATTTAATAATTTGGCAAATAATTCGACTACAGATGTCCATGTAAACACAGTCACTTTGTCCCCTGTGTGTGAGTGTGTTTTGACTCGGAAAGTCAGCGTGCCCAAATAGACACTCCCACACCATGCCTCTTTTCTTCCTCCGACACTCCCCCCTAAACAAAGCTGGACACGCCCACTTTTCTGACTTTTTCCAAAGTAGAGGTGTGAAAACACCCTGCTGAAACAAGGGGGTTTCATGGCTCTTTAAAGGTCAATATTATTCGAATATTTTTTTTTGATTGCCTAAAGAACAAACCACTGCATAAGTGTGCAATAAACACTTACATTCAGCAGTTTTCATGCATCAGTTGCCTCATTACAAACATATTAAGCCAGTTTGACATGATCATATAGTATGGTACATTCCCTGTGGTGGTGGCTGGAGGTCTGTGGATGATTCAGTCGTGGAACAAAGCGTCAGTGTGTGACTGTGAAACACTGCAGCGCTTGTCATGTGCAGCCACTCGCTTCACACGTCCATTTTCATCTGAATAGCTGACAGCAGCAAGCAGCCCTACTTGTGGTATTCCGAGGCCTGCCACTTCCTTAAATGGAAATGTGTCACAATTACTGATTTGCATTTCCCGTTGATCTCTTGGTAGTTGGTGTATCAGAATTTACTAGTGTGTTCAATGTTCACTTTATTTATAAAGCACATGTTATTACAAGTTGACCACATTGCTGTACGCACACAAGTTTAAAAATATAACTCAAATTGAAATTACAATCCCTGTTCTTACCTACCAGAGATGTATAAAGCAAGTATATAATAGTTTAGAATTATTCAATAGTTTTAGTTTTTATTTCGTTTTGATTTTTTGTTT